GTCGCGGTCGTCGTAGCGGTCATCGTAGCGGGAACTGGTCCTTTGGGTGGAGCGCCGCGTCGGCGAGGGACTCCTAGAGCGATGGGACGGCCTTACCCTTTTGTTGGCCGAATCCGGGCTGTACGAACGCTCACGACGAGCCATCCTTCCTCGTGGTAACAAGTCAAGACGCGTGTGTACAACACGAGTAAACACCGCCCTACAATCCCCACGCCAAAAGTAACACTCGCCACAAAGACGCGTCACCTCTACTTGGCTCAAACCATCATCATGTCCCCAGATATCCTCGATCCTTCTGCGTTGCTACAATCTCTGCCTAGTCTACTGCCCGAAAACAAACAGCTTGGCTCTCAGTACGATGCTATCGCCGTACTCTTACACACCGCTATGATTGCTCTTGGTTTCCGTCTCATTGCTGTAGATGATTCTTCCTCTGCTACTTCTTACGACAACAATGTACTACCGTCTCAATGGAACAGTCATGCACCCAACTATACCTTCCGTTACCGTCATGAGCAGAGTAGCCTTGAGTTTGTCTTGAAGTTGGCCAAGCTCGGCAAGCGTACCATCATCAATGCCATCGCTGTCGAGGTTTGTTATCCTAGTATACACATCAACGTGAGAATACTCATACTTGTGCGCTCAGAGCGAGAAAGTCGCGACCCTGGACATCTCCACGGACGACTTTACGTCGCCCTCATTCTTTCCCTACTCGCAGGAAACGACCGCGCCACTCGTGCACGGCTTCATCTCCTCGAATCGCGTCACAGACCTTATCTCCCAATTCAAGCTTAAGATCGTGCAAGCGCTTATTCCCGGCCTCAACAAACTGGGCTACGCGGAGGAACCAGCTCAGCCTTCCAGTAGCAATCGCCAACAGCAACAACAGCGCCCCCCTGCAGCTCAACCTCGACCCGTATCGCCGCCCTTTAACCCCGGGCAGCCACCTTCGATCCCCCAGCCTCTGCCTGGTAATCCGCTCGAGATCGGCCGCCGCGACCGTGATCCTATGGGCGGATACGTTAACCCTTTCGCGCCTCCACCGATGTTCCCCGGTGCAGGTGGCGACGGGATGTTCGTCGGACCCAACCACCCAATCTTTGGCAACCGCGGTCCCGGTGGTGTAGGAGGTGTCCCTATGCCTGGGCGAGGCCCCTGGGGAGGTGACGGATTCTTACCGCCCATGGGCGCTCCGCCTGGTGCCAGATTCGATCCTGTCGGCCCGTTCGGTTCTACGAGCCCGTTCCCGCGTGGTGGGCTACCGAGGGGAGCGCAAGCGGGGGAACCGGATAACGATGAATTCTTGCCGCCGGGTAACAACCATGTAAGTGCCTTTTGTTCAGACAGCCGTGCACTCAAATACTAATGCGGGTTTACCAGGATGATATGTATATGTAGACTTTTGGAACCATGGGGTTGGGGAGGAGTAGCTGCTTTGTACGAATACGGACACGTGTACCACGGATGACTGTACTTGCTTGTATCTTGAAACGGCGGAGAAGTGGACTGTGAGAGACTGCGGACCACTACTCATGCGCTCATGTCGCGAGGACGATGGCCTGCGCGGGGTTTTCGATATAATGACTTCTCGAGGTGTCCTTGCTTTGTCCAACCGAACCGTCCCATCATAGCGGGCATGGAGTGGGATCTATGGAAGTCTATTGCTATACGCTCGAATTCAAGGGACCACGTTCCCTCAGCGGATGCGCCCAATTGATGCCGTAAATACGTGCGGTATACGAACAGGGCGTGCTTAAACCGGCTATTGCCGTGCGCGCGCCCAGCCTATAAAACGGCCGCCCGACCACGAAGTTGAAACCCATCGACCCCAACCCCTTCCACATCGCCAACGACGAGAGCAACACATGCCACGGACACACGCCTCAGCATCTACGTCACCTGTCTCGAGCTCGCCGCCGAACGTGCGGTCGCCTATGGCTTCGACCGCGGCCGCGCGCCGGCGGTCGCAGCCGACGCTGCCTGGATTCCGGGTCAATACTCGGCCCAAACAGCGCAAGGTCGAAGAGCTGACTTTGCGGGAACTTAGGGATACGTATGAACGCAACGCGCGCATACTCGCCCAGCCGTGCGTACCCTCCGTCCCCTTATTATATTAATTAATCTAATCGCGATTATTGTTCCGCAGTGCGCCGTCGACGTCGACGTATGTCCCCCGGCTGCAGGCGGAGCAGGCCAAGATCGAGTCAAGGTTGATCGACCTCGAGGGCGTGCGGGAGATCCAGACGACGCTGCAGAGGACGACGCTGAACGAGGGGGAGGCCATGAGCGTCGATGGCCCCTCTGATGCGCCCCAGTACCGCGCCATTGACGCTAAACGCCAGGCCGCTTTCAGCGCCGTGCGTCATTCGCCCCTCTCTACTTCTTCAAACGTGTTCACTGATCCTGTATTTGTAGGTTTCACACGATCCGCATGCTCTATCGCTACAGAAGGCTATGCAACTCGAACAGGAGGCCGAAGCCCTCGAACGAGAACGCAAACAACGCGCGGAAGAGAAGCGACTGCGCGTGGGCAAACCAACGCCGGACGAAGTGCTCACGCGCCAGGAGCGCGAAGCACGCTTGTGGGCATTCATGTACGCTTTCTCATCACTCCCCTTCCTATCAAAACTCAAACACTGTGCAGGAACTACAAATGCTCCGACTCTGAAGAAGACGACGAAGATGAAGACGCGGACGATCCCGCAACCTGGTTCGAGGACGACCAGGATGACGGGCGCAAGGGGCAGAATCTCATTGAGCCCGATAACCCTGACGAATTCGAAATCGACCCGAACATCATCGCGGTCGATTTTGGGCGCGCATACGAGTTCCGCGATGGCACAGGGGCATAGCGCATCGATTGATAGCTGAAGTAATATAAGCTCTGTATTTGTATCCTTATCGAGTTCGCACTTCGGCTTTCTATTGTCTAATTGACATTCCCGCATCCGCATTCTGAGTGACGATATCGTCTGGTCATCCGTTCATTATTTCAAGCAAGACAGATAAAGCAGGTATAGTCTGAGTGGGCATTGAACAACATCTATGGATCCCTAGCGTGGACAGGACAGCTTTTGCCGCGTTGTAACCAAGAGGACAGGCAATCTGGGTGCGCGTCAGCTACCCAGTCATATCGCAAACTGCCGTAAAACGTACTATTGTGGAAGCTGCATAGACAGCTGAGGCGGGCAACCGTAGAACCAACAACAAACTCTTCGAGACAGATAACGCCTAAAGTGCTGACGTGAGTCATAGAAGCAAGGACTCAGCGGGGAACGTACACTCGATGCCAATGAGGGCGCTCTCGGCTGGAAGCTTGTAGACAAGGTACCGCGCGACTTGCGGGCTCTTGCTCGTGTCGCCCTCGAGACACGAACGTACATGAGCCTCCTGTTCGGACGCCGTACCGAGCTCGCTCAAGTTTCGGCTACACACGGGGCATCTTCGAAAGAGATCAGTATCCCATAAAGCTGAATAAACAGTGAGACACTCACTCATTCAAGTCGCTCAGCTGCGAGCTCGACTGCCTCGCCACTCTCGGAACAGAGAGCCTGCCCGACTCGATAAAGATCCGTTCCATCGATGCGACGCGGCTACCCTGCAGTGGGCTCGGAACTGTCATGTTCACGGCCTCGTAGCATGACTGACACACGCGCTGCATCGACGTCGACGCAGTAGAGCTTTCGCCAGTTGCGGGGTCGTGCACAATGTCCGATGGATCGAGTAATGACCGGTAAGAAGAGCAACGGTCACAGAATATACGACCGCATCTGCGACAATGGTGCTGCATCAAATATCAGTACACGAGCGCCGCCACGATAATATTATACGCTCACTCTTCGCAGGATGAATGTAAACCGCCTCTGACAGTCTCTACATGTCGAGACCTGGTGATCCCTCTCCCATCTCGCATTCATATCATGCGGCGTAGGAGGCGAGAACATTGGCGTCACGACCTTTTGCGGTGCCTCGTGCGTAGGCACGCGGAATTCGGGCGCTTGTGCGAGGTGTGGCGTCAGATCTGTGGGAGCGCGCGACGACGCTGCGCGCCCGAAGTAGTCTGTGCCGGCGTATGATCGACCGGCGACGGAGCGTGCGTCGCGGAAGGTCGTCTCTACGGGTGATGCACCGGGGTAGTGGAAGGAGGAATCGTCGTCGTCGTCATCTTCAAACTCGCTCAGGGCTGGGGTACATCAGCGCCTGTCATGGGTGAAGGGTTGAGTTGACGTACCATCGCTATTCAGGAGCAAGCCTTGCTGCTGCGCTGCCGATCTGCGTCGTTCGAGTTCGCGCCCATACGCGTTGAGCAGAACCTCCGCATGCGTCTTACGTTCAGGATCATAGTCACCTTCATTCGCTGTCAGCTCGCATTCATCTGACGTTCTGCGGTGGAACTGACCTATGATACCCTGCCTCAGCTCTGTTGTGGCTCTTTCGAGCTTCGCGATCGCCCTGCGCGCTTCAACGGCCGACGCCGGCCCTGCCTCTGTCTCATCCTGCTCGCCTGCCAGATACCTCGCGCGCGCAACATAGTCCTGCGCAGCTGCGAGCGGGTTGGGGGGCATAGCACCGAGCTCCTGGCCCTCATCATCGCCTTCATGCTCGAACTGGTATTCGTTAATGGTATCCTCAAAGGGTACCATCGCGCCGTCAGGCAACCAGTGGTACAATCCACCGTCCGGACCGAGATATGGCAAAGGCGGGATATCGAGTCGACGACGCATAACGCGTACCCAGCGACGTCGGCGAACCCAGTTCTGCGAGCTGGAGGTACCTGCGCTCGACCGACGCGAGCTAGAAGAGGGGCTCAAGCCTGGCATTACGGAGGTACCGTGCAAGAGCCGTTCGAGCTGGGCTGGAGGTTCGGGCGTCCATTGATCGTCTGGGTCATCGAAGCTTGTTGCGAATTGCCAACCACTCTCTGCGTCCACGCCGGGATGCGTGACATCCAAAGTCCAGTCGGATCTGTCTTCAGCGTCAGTTGGGCCAGGTGATTACACGAGGAAGGAAACTCACAGCCAGAAATGACTACGCTCTGCACCCTCGGGTACAGTGTTTCTCGAGCCGGGCACAGGCAACTTGAGTGGGTCTTCACGGAGTGGTAGCTGGACATCGCTTCTCCACGCGCCGACAGTCTTGTCACCTGTGCGTTCGTCGGGTACCAAGAGCTTCAGCTCAAATGGTGGACGGCGCCCGTGTCGCCCGAGTCCGGAGGCGGTGAATCGCGGACGACCACCAGAGACGGCAAGCGTCTTGATCCGCATGTCAAGGCGTTGGTTCTCGTATAGAATGAGCGGTACAGTCGTATGAACCGAGAGAGGATCGTAAGACGCCGTCGACCCGCGCCATTTCTCAGCCTCGAAGCGCGCAAGCACCTATGAAAGAGTCTGCATCGCCATTCACTGTACGACTCTGGGCACACGTACCTCGCAGATCCACACTTCGAAAACAGCCGCAGCTGCGTCGTAGGCCGTCTCGCCCCAGTTATTGCGAACCAGCGGGTCCGCCGACTGCTTTGTGAGCAGATACAGAACAACCGGCAAGTGGCCCTTTGATGCAGCATTCACTGTGTTTCGTCAGCGTCCTGTCAACACCACACACATCGCTAGAAGACGTACTCAAAGGTGTCCATCCGCCATTACTCCGGACATCAACACCCGGGACACCATCGACAGGCTTCGCAGCCCCGCCGTTCTCGCATAGCCATCGTACGATATCAAGATAACCCTAAAGAAGCGTGTCAGTCCATGATTCGGGCAGAGATGTGGTAGCATACCTTGGAGCAAGCGTTGTGTAATGCCGTCCAACCGTCGGCATCCTTTGCGTGCACTTCGGATTTTGTAGGGAGGAGGTACTTGATGATCTCAATATGACCTTGAAGAGACGCTTTGTGCACTGCAGTCTATCGCAGAAGTTCTTGTAAGGCAGGGGAGGCTATCACTGTGTTGAGGACGTACCTCTCCCTCTTTATCCTCCAAGTCAGGTATTGCTCCACATCCCTCGATAACTATAGGGCCGATTAGTGCCATACAGCGTAACAAAAGTCGTGACTTGACGTACGCCATTTGACGATATCCAGATGACCTCTACTGGCAGCGGCATGTAGCGGCGTAAGTCCCGTTCGGCTGGTCGCGTCGTTGACGAGCGCAAAAGGCTCGCACTCGCTAGCCTTTGCGACGTCGTTCACGAGCTTTTGGAAGCCCTCCAGGTCGCCCGCCGAGGCACCAGCGTACAAGGACTCGAGCTGGGCTCGGGTAGGTTCTGGCGCACGCGACCGCACGGGTGGCTCTTCGGGAGTAGCCGTGGCGGCGGATGCAGTGTCGTCTGTAGCATAGGGTGCGTTGAGGGGAGACACGACTGGCGAAGGCTCGCGCGGGGCAGCTGGGATGGCCTGCGCGGTGGTCTCGGGCTCTGGTGCACTCGGCACGGGGGCGGGGACGGCGGGCTCATCTGCGCCGGGATAATGGAACTCTTCGTCGCTCTCCTCGTCCTCGTCGTTCGTGGCAGCAGGCTCTGCGCCTGGATAGATAAACACGTCCGAGTCGTCGTCGGCCAAGTCTGCTTCCACGTCCGGTCCGGAGTGCGCGTCAAGGCTCCGCTTGTCGTTTCTGTAGACACAAGATTCGGTCAGAAGGTCTGTATAAATGATAATGAAGCCGCTTTTGGACAGACAATGGGTCGTCAGAATATTCTGGGGGCATAGTTTGGTTCGCCACTGGTACGTGGTCCTCGTCAATCCCGTCTGCCGACGCGTCCGAGAACTATTCCCGCCCTTAGCGTGCGAACCATGATGATGTCGCGTCGGTGATGGCGCGCTCTGCCCCGACGCTCTCTTCTTTCAGTCCATCCACTGGCTCTAGACTGTACGGATGGGCAGCATCCATGTAGAGCCGCAATGCATACTGTGTGACCTGCTCTATGACCCTACATCCATGAAAATGCACTATAATCCGCTATAACAAGCCTGCTATTGATCACCCCTTGCACCCGACATCGATTGCCTTACGTGCCGACAAGGTCTGGCGTCACACCTGTCCTCCTGAAGCAATATCGCATTCCACACTGATGAACGAGAGCTTTTTGAAAAGATTGGTCCGAAATGTGTTTTAATAAGCACTATAAAAGTCGACCTGTCTGGCAACCTCCAACCCAAGGGCCTCGATAACAGCCGCCGCGCGCTGCTTGAATGAACCCGCTCTCTACATCCACCGCGACGTTATCAGCACATATACTCTTTCCTCAGAAAAGAAGTCTGAATACGCACCAGACTGGACGCCTCGGGCGGAGGTTCGCCAATCCTCAACGAATGCTCAGGTTTCGAAAAGCATGCGTATCGATGCGTCTCCAGTTGCTTTAGGCAGGGTTCGAGTCGGTGCCATGAAAAGTCTTCCGGATCGGCGAGGTAGGAGGGGCTGTATTCGCCTTTGTAACGCATCTTGGGGCACGAGTGAATGTAAAAGCCTGAGTAAGATGCCATGTTTGAGTATATGCCAAGTGGGAACTTGGGAAAGGCGCACCCATGTATAGATATTCCATTCCTTCTGCGCCCGCTTCGGCGATCTCCCGCGCGAGCGCCACCTCGCGCATGGCACTCAGCTACAAAAGCATATCAGTTTCGCAACAGTACGTCATTTCATCGTCGCAACGTACTTTCCCAAGAGAGTACTTCTCAAACTCTTTCTCCCACATGAAGTACACGCTCGACACGCACGAGGGCAGGATGTCGATGACGCCCATAGCGATGAGTCTGCCATCAAGGCGGTAGAGCTGGTGATATGAGCCGTATTCAGTGGGTAGATGTGCGGGTGCAGTCGCCGGATATGTCATCGGGCTAGTCTGGGACTATCGTAAGGTGCGTCTCGGATATTGAGTGACGGGTGCACGTACAAGGAGCGGAGAATCGCAAAGGAACTCTGTGAATGACGTCTTTTGCTTTTCGGGCTTGTGGTGAATGTTGGCTTCATAGCTCTGGTAAAGCGCAAACTTCTCGTCGGTGTATCTAGCGAGCTCAAGAGTCACCTGCACAATGTCACTCAGATGAGCATGCGTTAGAGGACGATCTGGGCTTACCGTGAACTCGTGAGCTGGTCGAGCATCAGCGTCTAGGAAGGGCTTTTCTGAAGCATGCAGGTCGCGAACTAGATCAAAGGGCTGCTGGCGCTTTGCGGGTTTTCTACATGCCACGCGTCAGACGAGGCGGATGTGCCAACCGGATGAGAATATACCGTGTGGCGCTTGATCCGTCCACGGGTATATCACCCCCAAGATCACCCTCGAGAATGAACTTGTTCCATCTTGAGATATAACTCAGTCATAAGAGCAGGAAAAGCATGTAGTGCAGGGGATCGCACTTGTTGATGACCTTCCGCTGGCTCTTGCTCGGCTGAAACGTCTTCGCGTCTAGTCTAGCCATCGTAAGCGCGCGGCCTTCGCACTCTACCAGAATCTCGTGCAGACTTGATCGTATACTGAGGACAGCACGACGCGCGCAAGTCTGGCTTGTAGCAGTACGTGCCCGATCTCCTCCAGCCGCGGTCGATCATCTTCTGGTAAACGTCGCACGTCAGCCGGAGAGCTTCGAGCGTCGCGGCGTTAACGGAGCTCTTGGCCGCGCTCCTTTCACCTGCAGGGCTACAGTAGCCACAGCTATGCGCAAAAGGTCCCAGAGGCACTACGGCCGAAGTCTGGGAGTCCTCGTCGTCTGAATCGGACATGGTGGTGGAGGAGAGAGATGGGGACACGCGACTGACGCGTGACAGGGGCTCTATCCATCGAACGGCGATCATCTCACTAGTCTGTCTCGAACCGCGAGCTGGACGGCGCGGGTATGCTCGTACGGCGATGAACCTCGGCCGCCAGTCCATCAGCGCGACCCCGCCCCTCGTCCTCCACGACCTCCGCCTCGACATCCCCTCGGAGATATTCTCGCTTTCTTGTCCACAGGGCTGGACCGTACACCGCGCTTACCCGCCAGAGCTCGTCCGCAAACGGCCCGTGTCTGGCGGCACTTTATCCATTGTCTGCCCTCTACACGCTTCCTCTTTGGTCTTTCTTGTCGGAGGAGGGGCTGCGCCGAGATATGCGCCTAATAAAGTTGTGTTCTGGGACGATAGGCTGGGGAAGGAGGTAGCCGAGCTCGAGTTTAGAGAACGCGTGAGAGGGCTGGCGTGCAGGAGGGAATGGCTCGCCGTCGCGCTCAGACGGCGTGTCGTCGTGTTCGAGATCGGGCGGGACATCAAGCGATACGCCGAGTGGGACACGTGCGACAATCCAAAGGGTGGGCCTCAACTCGGGTAGCCTCTCGGCCTGAAGGTCTGATCATTATGTTATAGGCCTCCTGGCGATCGCGACGGACGCCCATGCCACGCTGCTCGCCGTTCCCGGCAGGCAGATCGGTCACGTTCAACTAATACACCTCCCACCCTGTCGCCCTCCAGCGCCGCCGCCTCCAGCCGCTGGCGCACCATCCAAGCCACAGCCCAAGCCACCGCCTCCGTCACGCACACGACCGCCAAGCCACTCTGTCCTAGTAGCCCACAACAGTGCTCTGAGCACGCTCGCCGTCACACCGTCGGGCAGACTGGTCGCCACAACCAGTGCACGAGGAACTTTGGTGCGTGTATGGGATGTAGCTACGGGCAAGAGGGTTTCAGAGTTGAGGAGAGGGACCGATCAGGCCGAGATCTACGGTGTGGCGTTCAGGCCTGACGAGGCTGAGCTGGCTGTGTGGAGCGATAAGGGCACCGTACACGTCTTTGCACTCGCTGGCGGAGACGGCGCGCGTGCAGGGCCAGCGTAAGCGCCCCAATTTCATCTCCCGCACATCCGCGTCGCTGACAAAGCAATCCATGTTGTACAGAAATCGACAGTCCAAGTTTAACTCTTTGACATCCTATATTCCTCTCCCAACCTACTTCACGTCCGAATGGTCCTACGCTCAATGGACGGTGCCAGCCCGAACTGCGCATCTCGCGCTTGCACAAGCTACGGGCGGTAAACGGGATCCCGGCCTCGCGGACGAAGAGAAGTGCGTCGTAGGTTGGATTATGGCTCCGCCTGCCGATCCGCCGTCATCCGCGTCTGTCCCTGGGAAGGGCAAGGGCAAGGCGGTCGCTGGACCGTCAGGATCGGGCCAGGAGTTGGAGTGGCAGCTCGTGGCCCTGACATACGCCGGTGGATGGTATCGACTTGCATTGCCTCGAGCCGCAGCGGGCGATGCAGACGATGCTTCTAGCGTGCGTAGCGGTGGGAGCGTTAGGAGTGGTGCCAGTTGGTCCGGTGGTGGCAAGGGCAAAGGGCGAGCAGGAGCGGGTGGAGACGAAGGCGAGAAGAGGAAGAAGCAGAGCAGAGAGTGCGTGTTGCTTGAGTATCGCAGGTTCGGGAGCTGGGATGGATGGGGCTAGGTTGGTCGGATCGCTCGCTCGCTTTCGTCGTGCTGTGGATTATATCTTGACTCTGGATCTGCACGTTTTCGTCTCGTATACACCATCTACACAACATTGGACGCATCGCATATGTATTCTATGCAATATCTGACTCCCACACTCGTCAAGCACCTCTCACATGCACTGTAGTCACGCAGGTGGAGGCCTGAACACTCTCGACTACCAGCGCACGGCGGGGCGCAATATTCTGATGTTCCAAGATACATTGTTGCTCTGGTATGAAGGCAGTAAGCCCTGAAGTAAAGAAAAGTACGAGTACAGTTTGAGTGATTGTTCTCCAAAGAAGGCGGGGTTTATTAGTACGGCGTCCGAAACGAAACGGGAGATCTAAAGCATGGGCGCAGAGGGTGTGTGTTTATACCAAGTTATCATAGAGAGATAATGCCTGCCAGACGCCATTAGCCATCTTAGTCAGGTTATGGGACAAGAGGGCGTACCTGTACGATCGTCGGGTCCTGCTTGCTACCTTCCACAAACTCTTCGTACGTCAGACTTGAGTTGTTGTCCTTATCCATATTCCTGAAGATCTTGTCCACGCGCTAACAGAGCATGCATCAGATATCACGGCGATAGGGTATGTAGGGAAGCTGTGCCGTGATAGGCAAGTACGAGAGTTGCGTGAAGTTGGAGTACGGAGGAGTGGCGTACCTTTTCGGGCGTGTCCTCGTCTGGCGGTAGCTTGACCATCTCACCGGTCATCTTGTAGATACTCTGCACAATCTGAAGCATCTCCTGGTACGTGATCGTCCCGTCCTTATCAATATCATATAGTTGGAAGGCCCCTACTTGGCATGAGCGACGGACTTGGAGAAGCTGCAATAGTACGCACATCGGAGCTTCTCGTCTAGAGAACCGCGAGAGGTGATAGACAACGCGCAGATAAACTCCTTGAAGTCGATGGTGCCGTTCTTATTGACATCAAAGACGTCAAAGACGTATTCGGAGAACTCTCCCGGGTCACCGAACGGGAAGAACTGCTTGTATATTCGCGAGAACTCGGTCTTGTCGAGTTGACCGGCGGGGCAGTCTTTCACAAAGCCCTTGTACCTGGACACGCGAAAGCGAGGACGGTGAGATGCGCGCTAGGAAGGGAATATGTGGCGGCGGACCATTGTTGCAGCTCGCGTTTATCGACTGAGGCAACGGATGAACGGGGTATGCGAACAGCCGAACGAGATGGACGCACAGTAGGTGTTCTTCTGGAGGTCGGAGAGCTGTTCTGGGGAGAGCTTTGACTGAGATTTGCCCATGGTGGATGTGTGGAGAGGAGGGCAGATTATCAGCAAGCACTTACGCTGGGCGGCACGTGGTGGGGTACGCAGCCACGATCTGGAACGCGGGCCGGAGGAATAAAGTGGGCTGTAAATGGCAGGGCGTTGATGGGCGCCGGGGGATGCCTCGCCTCGAGGACGGGATGCGCCTCGAGGCAGGAGGTGTGGCGAAAAGGCTCATGGGATCCTGAGAGCGATCCATCATCCCTGTGTACCGCGTCGAAAGCGCATTGTGGCCTGGCCCGTCCGAGGCGGGGGATGGTGTAATGGTAGAAAAGGCGGGCCCCTCAGCCGATCTCGACTATCTTGGCACCTGCCACCACCATGTGCTGGCTCGCAGGCAGCATCGAGCACCAGACTTCGGTCTGCCCGATGTGCACCTTCTTCAAGTCGGGCAACGCCAGGTATGTTTTCTCCAGATCTCCATCTGACATGTCTGACTGGCCGCAGATGCCCGCACAAGCGGGACATCTGCCGCAACACTGCGAACCACGCGCGGGAGGTGGCGTACATCAAGAACGCCGAGGTCACGACCTTCAACGGCTGCGGCTACTGCAAGTGGGCCCGCCAGAACCCCAACGCATCGCCTGCCACGCGCAACAACGGCTGGCCAGGCTGCTGCCGCCCCCCGGCGTCGGGCGAGCGCGTCCCGCCGGCAGACTGGCCCGCGGTCTCCGCGGTGCACGGCGTGCAGGTGCCCGCGGACGTCAAGGCGCTGCTGGACTCGATCAACGTCCCCAAGCCGGGCACGCCACCCTCCAAGTCGTCATCCCCTAATCTGGGATCACCCACCCAGTCCTCACGATCGCCCTCGAGCGCCACACAGTCCAAACCTCGCACCCCGCCACTCGCCATCCCGCCCCGTGCATCCCGCGCAATCGCAAAGGAGCGCAAGGACAAGGACAGCCCAGAACGCTCGGCCACAAAGGACCTCAGCCCCAACACGCCCTCGCCACTTCGCCGGCCATCGGTATCTCGCGCGCCCAAGCAGCCGAGTGGCGCAGTGGACGAACGCACGCCACCCGCCACTCTCCGCCGTCGCTCTTCTGCCACAGACACCCGCCGCGAACAGCCCCCAACTCGCGAACGCGAGAGGGACATAGTTCCCCGGAATGCCACTATCGGACCTTCGCGCTCCGCACCCCGCGCTTCTGCTCTGGACACCGACTTTGGTATGGCCCAGATGTCGCTCAACTCGCCTCTGAGCCCGGGTGGAGAGAGCGGCTCCGACGGTGGGAGCGTCAGCGGTGGAAGCTCGAGTGATGGCACTGTCACGAGCGATGGGGGCTTTACCGATTATCTCAGTGACGAATCCGAGGCAGAGCTTCAGCGCCAGGCTGAGGCGCGCGCCCTTTTGTTGGCGCAGAGCCACGCCGAGGACGCCGAATTCAGAGCCGCGCGCAAACAACTCGCTCAAGTCGATCTGCGTGTACCCAAGGCTTGGAACACTGGCGGAGCGCAGAAGGGCGTGGCGCTCAGTGGGTATGCCCGTCGCTGAAGGCCAAACGCCTCGCACCATGTACAGATCTCGACTTGCTCTTTGCTTGACGACCGATACGAACTGCTTTGCTCTAGCTCTCTTTCTCTCTCGATATGCTCCCCTCACATCTTTATACCACAACTCAATACACAACGTCGCACACAGGTCTTCCTACCCTTGCTTCGTCGGGCTCCCCTGTAGCACTGTACGCTGATTGTCACACCGGAGCTTCGCCGCCTGTACTTGTATCTATCACACTCTCGGCCACCTATCTCTTTTCGTTCGCTGGTTCTTGTGTATGTAGACGTACGGATGAGATTTGCTATTCCTTCTCTTGCACGTTCGAACGCCGGCTGCTCCTGGCACGAAAGATGGGTAAAGGAAACTGGATTTTGGGGACTCTAGGGTACAACAGCAGCAGGCAGCGGATAACACTAACGATACAACGGTGCGACAAAGGTGTCCGTGGGGTACATCGAAGACTCGAAAACAAGGATGCAAAGAAAGCGAAGGACGGGCGAATCCCTTACTGCGACTTGAGGAACACGGCCATGCCCTGGATGTTCTCGCCCTCGAGAGGCAAGCCAGCGGCGTACGCAGGGCCCTTGAGGTCAACGCTCTGGAGGTGCGTCGCCTGGCCGGGCGCGTCGAGGCTGAAGACCTGGATGCCGGCCGCGGTACCCTCGACCACGTAGAGGTAGTCCTTGTCGCCGACGGTGGCAACCTCGAGATCGATCAAACCCGCGTCGCTCTGCGTGTCGAACTGCGAGACCTGAGTGGTGGCGAGAGTGTCGACATCGACGGAAACCTCGGTGATGAGGTTGGTAAGGAAGTCGGAGAGGTAGAACGAGCCCGTCTTGGAAGAGTACGCGTTCCAGCATACGGCGCCCTGGCCTGGGATGCTTACGGCGACACTGGCAGGCTGGTCGAGCGCGGAAGGTACACCCTGGCTGAAGTCGAGGATGTTGAAGCCGACTGCCGCGTCGGTGACGAGTAGCGAACCGTCGTCGCGTCCGGGGATGAAGCCCATGCTAAAGGCGATGTTGCCGCCCTGGGGCAAGCCGAGGCGGTACTCCTCACCGAGGCCGTCATCGCCGAGGTCGAATGCGGCGATGAAGCCGGTAGCGCCGGTGGTAGGGTTGCCCTTTGCAGCGGCGTAAACACTCTTCTGGTCCTTGCTGAAGATGATGTGCGACGCAGTGCCCGGCACGCCGGTAGCCGGAGTCGTCTGGTTCAATTTAAGCGCACGGTAGCCGCCGGTGATCGGGATCAGGCCGGAGGTGCCGTTGACCCAGAAACATTGAACACCGTCACGAGCGCCGCCGTTCAGAGCGCAAAGCTTGTCTCCTGCATCGGTGAAGGCCACAGATTGAGGGAACTCACCACCCGAGGCGACCGGAGCGCCGACGGCCGTGAGGGTGGTAGGGTTTGACGGGTCAATGGAGAAGAGGGAGACGGTGTTCGAGCCAGCCTGTGATGCGATGTCAGCAGGTTGTGAAGGGCGAGATGCGGATAGAGCTCGCGTACATTGACAGTCGCGAGCAGGTTGGTTGCGCTGTTCACGACGACCGCGCCCTGAGAGTAGAGAGGGTCCGCGCCCGTAACGTTACCGTGCTGACCGAGGCCGCCGGTAGACATAGCAGTAGCGAGTGTGAGAGAGCCGTCGGCGTTGATGTCGGCCGCAACGATGTAGTTTCCCGATGGGTCGTTAGTGATGACTGCAAGACCTTGTGAGATCGTGTCCAGAGATGCTCAGAAGGTGGAAACACGGCTTACAGTATGCCGCGCCTTGCGAATCACCCGACTGGAGGTTCAGCGTGCTGTTGAGGGTCATCCAGGATCCCTGACCCGGTGCGCGGGCTACAAGACTGCGCACAGCGCGGGAGGCCGGTGCCGCGTATGCGGAAGCGACGAGGGTGGAGGTGGCGGCGAGGGTCGTGGAGAACTTCATTATTGATATCGTCTAGCGAAGGTCGTAGAAGCGTTGACGAGAGGTGGAATAGAGAGGGTAGGAGTAGTGTAGTGTGTGAGGAGTAGAGCGCAGCTCTGGGTCGTGAGGAGAAGGGGACGGGAAGTCGGAGAGGGAACTCGAGGCGACTAGGCCGAGTACTGGAACCTTGGAGTGGAGGCTGGAAGGCTGGGGTTGCATCGACCCTGAGCGCCAGACTATATACTCGACGGCCAGCTTTGCATCGCAGCCCGGCCGTTTACGCGAATCAAGGCAGAGCGAGAATGAGGTCGGCATTGAGCAGGGAGCATACGAGAGCGCAATGAGCGCCCTGCGTTGGCAGGCCGGTAGCGCGTTCTCACGCGCCCTGTGCCGCATTTGGGACGCATCAATATGACCTCGGTGGCGGAGCAGGGAGTGCCGATAGCGTAGACTGTGAGCGCATTGGATAGTCGATAGACTATTACGTTGGGTATGGCTCGTTACGATGTTGCGCAGGCCAATGAGCACAACTTGATGCGGGAGGAGAGGCACCAATCACGAGCTCTCGACTGCTCTTCGATCTTCAAGCGCTGTGATAGTGCATGGCTGACACCTTGATTCGCCTCATGAAATGAGGTAAATAGAGAGCACGCGATTCTAATGCACAATAGTACAGCCAGTCATAGCATGCCATACTTTTTCAGTATCCTTTCCTCCACGTCCGCGCCAGCCCACTTATGCAAGCCGTCGGCGAACGCGAGATTATCCAGTTCGGCCTTGAATAATTTCCCAAAGTCCTGCGGTTGGCCTGGTGGTGCACCCGCCGGCGCAGCAAAGGGGCTCGCAGTGGCTTGTGGGTCCGCCGCGGCGTTCTCGCCGCCGAGGATGAGACGATATAAGCCGTTGAGACCGAGGAAGTTGAGGAAGTACCAGGAGAGGGAGGAAACCCAACGAACGTCCATGTCGGGAGTTTCGATACCACGCTGAAGTAGTGACTTGAAACCGACCGTCAGAGGGAAGGGAAGCTTGACTGTAGATGATGTCAAGACAACCCTGGAGATTCGTATACGAAGCATGCAACGTACTGAGTACAAAGCCTTGAAAGAAGAAGTTGATCCAGCCCATGATAACCATTTGCGGGACCATCATTACCTAGGCTTTGGTTCAGGCTCGGCAGTCTACGCACAGGCGTCTGGGGTAACGATTTACCATCTGAGTCTTCATTCCGGCCATCATGCCCTCCATCTGACTGGGGTCTGCGAGTGGGTTCGCAGGGGGCTTCTCGGTCCCATCCGAAGGGCCGTCCTTCAAGTAGAGGCCGTCTGAGAAGGCTTTGTACAAGTGCGCGGAGATGGCGCGGTAGTGGGGGAGGGGGAGCGGCGACGAGGGAGCGGTTGCGCGGAGGATATTAGAGCGAAGCAGTGCACGCCTGGGTATATGTCAGGTTCGAGTTCTATGGATCGCGTAATCGAAGGGCTCACTGTTCACGCAGTGCGGGTCGCGGTAGAGGTTTGGGCGGGGATTGTAGGAGTTGCACGACATAGTGTCGCAGGATACCCACCAGAATCTACGTACCGTTCGAGCCAATTATCCGAGGCAGATATCGATGTGCGTACCATGACAAGGGTGATTGGGAATAGGACCCAGTCCCGGATTTGTGGGTCCAGATATAATGCGGGGGCGCTGGGTATACGCGTCAGTTTGAAGATGAGGTATCTCATATACAGTAGCGTACGAGGAGCCCATATTTGTGTCCAGTATGACGAGTTACAGTATCCTATACAGTCAAGTAAAGGTGGGATTGGCCGATGCTGGCCGTCGATGCCAAGGCGTGGCGCGTGAGTTGCGCGTCGACGCGCTTTCGCAGTTCGGTCCCGCCGGCGACGATCTCTCTGTGCTTCGATCTGCAGACATGAGCTCTCTCCTGCAGCACCTTGAATTTCTCGTGGGCTCTTCCGCTGATGGCGCCGGCGATCGACGCGTCGTCGATGAATGGACCAGGTGCGTTCACGATCTGCAGGCCAATCCCGTCTCACGCTTTGCAAGGCTCGATATTGCGACTAATGGTATGCGTGTCCTATAAACCCGCGTTCATCTCCTTGTGATACGTCAATCAGGGTCTGAAGACGCGGAGCTGCTCGAAGAGGATCCCGACTGGGGTGCAGACTCGGTGCTTGACGCCTTCCGCGCCCACAACGCATCCAATATTCCTGGCGATGCCCGGGCTCCTGCAGTTGGCCCAACAGTGTCCAAAGTTCTAACGTACGTGCCAGCTTCTAGTAATATGCGGCGATGGCTCACTAGACTATGGCTTTAGACTACCAAATGGCTCGGTTCTACTTGATGCAATCTCGTCTGCTCTGTCTTCTCCGCGTTCAGACGATGCAATCTCCGAAGAGCTCTTCGACTTGATAGGATACGACCACATCGAACTGGTGATGGAGATCCTGCAGAACCGCGCAGGCGTGGTAGAAGAGGTTCGCCTGACTTCCACCTAGGCTTGACGTTGCTCATCACCGCTAGATTCAAGCCCACCACGAGGCGCCAATACTTCCCGTGGGCGGGCATTCCGGAGAGACACCCCTGGGCCTATCTGCGACAGATGCTCGCAGGAGAATGGAGGAAGCATTTCGGGCCAACGCCCAGCGACCTATGTTTCTCGCAGAAGCTGTACGTGGCAGTGCGCTCACGAAATGTCTCCCTGCACCGAATGTTGACGGCGCTTACATAGCATGCAGCACCAGAGGTGCTTCCGCATGTGTACACATCGCATTCCCAAGTTCAAGGAAACATTCTGTCTCATACGGGCTCCAAATACATGCTGCCTGAAGGCACTAGACGTACGATGAGAGAGGTACTCTCGTTACTTCAATCTTGAAAGATGGCATTAGGTTGACGACTTTGAGTAGGAGTACGAAGAAGTCATCGTGCCACCGGCTAAAGCTGTCCCTCCCAAAAGCTATGAACAGCCTATCCTTATAGATAACCTCGAGCCGCTGGCAAAAGGCTCTTTTCCAGTACGCCCTTTGACTACGGTGTTGAATAAACTTTCTAAGGAATTCCAAAGGGCTACACCAGCCTTAACAGGATTCAGTCCATCGTGTTCCCTACAGCGTTTGGATCCAATGAGAACATGCTCGTCTGCGGTAAGCTCTCGTTACCATGTCCTCTCTGACAGGGTGTTCAATGCGATTACAGCTCCTACCGGTGCGGTATGATGATCAATGTTGACAGAAGAAGCGCCAGAAGCTCACATCGCGTACGCAGGGTAAAACCGATGTGGCGATGCTCACAGTATTGCGTGTGATTGATCAGCACCGCAATAAGGCGTCCTCGCAACCACTGGCAGGAACGATAAATCGCGACGACTTCAAGATCATATATGTGTGCGGCTTTCAATGCCTGAGTTTATACATACGTGGCTCATGGATATATCTCATAGCGCACCAATGAAAGCTCTCGCCGCCGAAATTGTTCGCAAGCTCGGGAAACGTCTCGCCTGGCTGTCCATAAAGGTCCGCGAGCTCACGGGCGATATGCAACTTACGCGGGCGGAGATCGCGGAGACGCAGATCATCGTCACTACACCTGAGAAGTGGGATGTAGTCACGCGTAAGCCCACTGGAGAGGGCGAGGTTGCTGCTGTACGTTCCCCATCGTGCGTCTAGTTTGGCTACGTGGCTGATGAGAATGGTACAAACAGAAAGTCAAGTTACTCATTATCGATGAGGTACACTTGCTCAACGAGGAGCGTGGAGCCGTCATAGAGACTATCGTCGCGAGAACTCTGCGACAAGTCGAGTCTAGCCAGTCTGTGATTCGCATTGTTGGCTTGAGTGCGACGTTGCCGAACTATGTTGATGTCGCTGAATTCCTGAGGTGAATCTCTTTGCGTCCGTCTGCGCGCACACTTTGATCTGATATATGTGTCTAGCGTATCAAAGCAGACCGGCCTCTTCTACTTCGACTCATCCTTTCGTCCCGTCCCTCTGGAGCAACACTTCATCGGCGTGAAGGGCAAGCCCAACAGCCCCACCTCTAAGAAGAACCTCGATCGTGTCACCTTCGAGAAGGTATCTCAACTTGTTCAAGAGGGCCATCAAGTCATGGTCTTCGTCCACTCTCGCAAAGAGACCGTCAAGTCTGCCCAGGCCCTTCGTGAAGCTGCCATGGCAGACGGTTGCCTCGACGACTTCTCATGTCAAGATCACCAGATGTTCGACATGTTCAGGAGGGACATCGGCATGAGCAGGAACAAGGAGATGAAACAGTTGTTCAACGAGGGATTTGGGATTCACCATGCGGGCATGCTCAGAAGCGACAGAAATATGATGGAGAGGATGTTTGAGGCCAGGGCTATCAAGGTACTATGTTGTACCGCTACACTTGCCTGGGGTGTCAACTTGCCCGCACATGCAGGTACGTGAATCTTAAGGCCCATCGTGATCATATACTGAATGGACGTAGTCATTATCAAGGGCACGCAAGTTTACGATAGCTCTAAGGGTTCATTCGTCGATCTCTCTGTCCTGGACGTTCTGCAAGTCTTCGGTCGCGCTGGTCGACCAGGACTGGAAACTAGCGGCGAGGGTTACATCTGTACGACAGACGACAAGTTAACGCATTACCTCGACGCGGTGACCGCACAGAACGCTATCGAGTCGCAGTTTACAAAGGGCATGATTGACGCCATGAACGCTGAGATTGCGCTCGGGACGGTGTCAAACGTGGACGAAGGCGTTCGATGGCTCGGATATACGTACCTCTTCGTGCGCATGCGCAAGAATCCCTTTTTCTACGGCATGTCGCGCGATGTTGTTGTGGACGACCCAACTCTCGGCAGTAAACGCTCGCAGCTTGTCATCGAAGCCGCACGCCGTCTCAGCCAAGCGCGCATGATCAATTTCGAGCAGGAGTCGGGCAGCTTCACGATCACCGACCTTGGACGACTCGCCGCCAAGTACTACATCCGGCATGCGTCGATCGAGATCTTCAACGATAAGTTCAGACCGAAAATGACTGAAGCGGACGCGCTCGCTATGGTCAGCCTCAGCACCGAATTCGACCAAATACAGGTGCGGGAGAGTGAAGCGAAAGAGATGAAGACTCTCCTTGAGCAATGCCCTTGTACCGTCGCCGTAAGACTTCACCTCTACTTACGTTGTCGATCCCTACTCAATCACTCGTTAGGGCGCGAGTGTGGAAGCTAAGGTCACCAAGACGGAAGGCAAGGCCTCGAAAGGGGCCAACGTCGCAGAAGAAGAGGGCGTAGTTGCCAACAAGGAGGGCAAAGTCAACATCCTCCTCCAGGCCTATATATCTCAGATATACATCGAAGACTTCGCTCTCGTCTCGGACTGTGCGTATGTCGCACAGAATGGCGGGCGCATCGTACGCGCATTACTCGAGATGGCCATTGCTCGCAAGTGGGCCGGAGCTGCGGGCACGCTCATGGGATTGAGTAAAGCCATTGAGAAGCGCTTATGGCCGTTTGATCAGCCGTTGAAGCAGTTCCCGCTGAAAGCGGACATCTTCTATGGTCTCGAGCGTTGGGCCGACGACTACGCTGTGGCAGAACTCGCTGATATGTCCGCGGAGGAAGTTGGGGAGCTCGTGCATCTCAACAAGCATCACGGACAAGCCATTCTCACGGCAGCAAAGCAGTTCCCGACCGCGCAGCTATCGTACAAGCTGCGCCCGCTCGGCGCAGATGTGCTCAAGATCGAAGTGCGCGTGAAGAAGGCGTTTAGCTGGAGTGCAAAGCTGCATGGATCTGGAGAGCCGTTCTGGCTGTGGGTCGAAGACGAAGAGGGCAGCGCGATCCTACAACTAGCGCATCTAATCTTCCGCCCAGAGACGGAGAACATCGACGTTTCCTTCGTCATTGCCATTCCCGCCGGTAGAACACCGTCGTCTGTCACAGTTCGCTTCGTCTCGGATAGATGGATGGGCGCCGAAGACGAACTTCCAGTGCCGCTAGATGGGTTGGTTATGCCGAGCCGCTCAACAAGCCATACGCCCCGGTTGGACCTCCCGTTCTTGAACGTTAACGCGCTTCGTCATCCATTCTTGCAGGAGGTCCTGTCTGCGCGCCTTTTCGGCTTAGGCGCAATCCAAACGCAGGTGTTCTGGAGCTTGGTGCATACCAAGTCGCATTCTCTTGTCGCTGCACCGGTAGGCGCCGGTAAGACAACCGTGGCCCAACTTGTCGTCTGGTGAGCGGTGTGGGCTGCTGTGGTTAGGCGTCGCTGACGGGCAGTAGGAAGACCATGGTCGATCTTCCGAACGATGGCTATGCTCTCGTACTGGCGCCCAAACGCAGCATCACGAATGAAATGCTTACAGCGATGGAGACGCTCTCAGCACCGCTTGGGATTGACGTAGGCTTCTTCTCGGCGACAAACTTGCTGTCTCGACCACGGGGGAAGGCAGTCAGGCTGACAACTCCAGCCCATGTAGTTGCCGCATTGAGTCGACATCGACCAACAGAGCCTTTACCTGGCTTGGCCCTGGTTGTGTGCGACAACCTCGAGCAGTTGGACCCATTATACGAGCTCGGGGTGTCGCTGTTGCGACATTCGACGCAAACGCAACCCACACGCTTCATAGGCTTCTCAAACTCTTTGAACGATTCTGCAGACGTGGCGGCTTGGCTCGATGTCGACCCGCTTGCCTTGCACAGCTTCAGACCTAGCGATCGCGACCAATCACTGTCCATATCAACACGCACGTTCACCATCCCCCAGTCCGCAGCGCTTTATAAGTCTATGGCTCGCCCGGCACACGGCGCCATCGCCGCAGCTGCCAATGCACCTGCGATTGTCTTTGTACCCTCGCGTGCCCAGTGTCGGTTCATCGCGCTGGACCTCATCACTTACTGCACGCTCGAATCGCAGTCGGAGAACGGCTACCTCCCCTCGCATCTTTCTGCTGGAGACCTCGAACCACAGCTCGTACGCTTGCAGGACCGGACGCTGGCAGACTTCATTCTCAAAGGCGTCGGCTTCTATCATGAAGGCATTGCGCGTCCTGACCGGACTCTCATGCTTGACCTATATAACGCGGGCGTCATCCGCGTGCTACTATCGCCACGTGATGCTGCCTGGACACTACCGGTGCGGGCGGGCACAGTGGTCGTGATGGGTACGCAGTACATCCACCTTGAAGGCGAAGTGCGTTCGGTACGGGATTATGAGCTAGCAGACCTCGTGCGAATGCAAGGTCGCGCAGTGCGCCACGGCGAACCAGGTCACTTCCATCTGTTCTGCCAGGTCGAGGATCGTGATACGTACTTGCGATTCCTCGAGGAGGGGTTGCCGCTCGAAAGTCGATTGCAAGGATCGACCGAACTTGCGAGGTGGTACGCGCTGCAGCGACAGAGCGGAGCCATCACAAGCAGGATGCAGGGCGTACAGGCTTTAACATTTACGTTTCTTGCGAGGAGAATCGTGCGCAATCCGGCATACTATGATGCCCCTACAAAGCGCGATGACGCGCTATCGCGCATAGTCGACGAGCTTGAGGACGCGACGGCCGCTCAGCGATCAACCTCAGACAAAGCTCAGCAGTCAGAGAGCGGCGCATCGAAGGCTGGCGAGCCACCATCGTAGTCTATCGCAGTTTACACGTGCATCTGATGTTTAGTTGCAAGACGAATTACAAATAACGATACGAAGTACAACAAGGATGGAGGCAGGCAGAAGACGCAGCACAATCGCCGTGCCCGGGAAAAGCTTCTACGCCGGGCTCAAGAACTTCTTGAGACCCTGAAGCCGCTCTCCGGCGGCCTTGAGGGTGTCAACGTCTTTGCAGAAGGCGAAGCGAGCGTAGACCTCGCCGATGTGCGTGTGCTCCTCGCAGTAGAACTGTACGTTATCGTATCATCGTCCTGCGGCGCATGCATGCTCTGAAGTGTAACTTACCTCGCTAACGGGAATCGAGGAGACGCCAACCTCCATCGCGATGAACCAGCAAGCCCTAGTTTTTAAGTTAGGCATTTGAACAAGCGGCGACCATAATCGTAGCGCGCACTTGAAATCATGACCGCGCCCCAGAACAGTGTCAGGGAATGGATAATCATCCGGGATATTCAGCTGCGAGATGTCCTATCGCCGACGACCATGAGCATGAGAATCCGCGACTACGCCACAGCTAAAACTCACCATCAGAACGAAGTAACTGCCCAGCGGGAGCGAGTACTTGACGCCGAGCTTCTCGAAGGCTCGAATGAGAACGTCCCGACGTTCTTCGTATTCATCACACTGGGTCGGAAAGAAGTTATGCTGTTTCGTCTGTTCAAGACCGATAGCGACAGCTTCTTGCAATGGCGAGTTGGTACAAAATACGATACGCGTTGTCGCCGCCAGAGTGGGTCGGATGATGTTAGCCGGGCCGATCAACCAGCCGACGCGCCATCCCGTAGCAGCGAACGACTCTGCGAGCGTGGTCGTGTGAGCACCCCGATAAATCGCCCAAGATCATTATTGATGGAACGCACTTCCTGCAGACCCAACAGTGACCGTGCGTTCCCACATTCCAGGAAGAGTTGCAATACGAACGTGCTCCTTCTTGTCGAAGACCAAGCAATCATACTGAATCGCCGAGTCAGGATAATCGATAAGAGCATTTGGTCAACGAGAGCACGCACTACTTCGTCCGACATGACGATGAAATTGTGCTCGATGGCGAGAGCAGCTATCTTTTCGAGTTCTTCCCGAGAGAAGACCTTGCCAACGGGGTTGTGGGGGGTATTGACGATAAGCATCTTGGTGCGCGGCGAGATAGCGCGCTTGAGCTCGTCAAAGTCGATAGTCCATTCGTTGCTGGTGGAGCGGATGTTGTGACTTGCAGGCGGCGGATGTAAGGGGACGTAGACGGGCTTTCCACCATTGAACGTCACAGAAGGGAGGTATTGGTCGAAGAACGGCTCGAACATGATGACCTCGTCCCCAACCTCGAGAAAGGCAGTGAGCACTGAGTACATTCCTACGTCTACCGTAAGCTGAGGAATGCTGACGCGTTCAATTGAACGATACCTTCATTGGCGCCGCTGGTGATCAAGATCTCAGATTCGATGTCGAGCGAGCGGCCAAACTGTTCCTCGTAGGTCTGCTTGATCGCCTGACGCAGACGTGGTCGGCCCTTCGGATGCGAATAATGGTTGGTCGCGACCTCGTTCAGGGCCGTCTCAGCGGCAGCCGTGACCCACTTTGGTGGGGCAAAGTTCATGTACCCTTGGCCAAGGTTGATGCAGTCCGAGGGCAAGTTAGCGGCACTACACGAGTCAGGCGACTATCGTCCAATTATCTTGACACATAGCGTACTTGAAGATTGACCAGACATCTTGAGCAAGCGCGCGGCCCTCTCTCAGACGCGAGGAAAAGGGTACAGGACCGGCGACCAAGTCGCGTGGGTCATTCAAGACGGCGCCCGTACCGTTGGGCTTCCCGTTGATCTTGGAGGTGGCCGCAGTGGCTACGGACATGGTGAGGAGTGGACGAGGTGGTGGTCTAGAAGCAAGCCTGGTGAGGGAGCGAAGCATAGATATCACGCTGGAAAGCGCTGGTCGAGCTTACCATGCTGATGACTTTGACTGGCTACAATTCAACGTCAACGGCCTCCGGACGGCCGAAGACGCCGCAAACCCGATACGGCACCCCGTTTTCTCGCATCATCCTCGCGGTATATATGCAGCCGCTATACTTCCTAAACAACCCTATACGGTGGGGTCAGTGGGGACGTATACGCGGCAGCCTGTCAGCGAGACGGCAGCCGGACAGCCGGACAGCCTGAGAGCACACGATCGAGTCGGCGCTGACAGTTGACATCCGGATGTCCGTGTGTACGCGTCGTGTACGGAACTCAGAGCGTGACCTGCCGAACGCCACGGGACTCCGAGTCAAAGTTGACCGTGACTACCACCACTCACTCAGACTGCCGTACGTACCGGCGATTGGATGTACATGCTCTTTGCTCGAGTCCGCATGGCCGTCTGTGCTCGGCCAGCTCTGCGTCGTGTCGCATCCGCGTTATTCTTTGCCCCAATTCCGTTCACCGCAACGTATTACTACACAGTAAAGCAAGTGAATGGAATAAGCATGCAGGTCGTCGTTACCCCCTGCGCTTCTGACAAAGCTAGTGTGCTAATCCGAGTAAGTAGCCTACCCTGAATCCGGACTTGTCTGGACAACGCGACGTGGTACTGTTCGACCGCTTCTCTGTTGCCGGTTTACATCGGTATGAGCGAGGAGACGTCGTTATGGTCCGGTATGGACATCCCACGTAGGATGACGAACCATTTACTGACCATATACTTCGATAGCTCGCCGTTTGATGCGGGCAGTTTCCTGATAAAGCGTATTGTGGCACTGGAAGGCGACACCGTGCGCGTATCCTCTCACTCAATTGTTCAGCTGGCAACTTACGTGGCATTGTAGGTGAAAACATTACCTCCATATCCGAAGAAAGAGGTCACGATACCCCTAGGTCACTGCTGGATCGAGGGCGATCGATCTATGGACTCGGAAGACAGCAATAGCATCGGTCCCGTACGATGATTCGTGCCGACTGGTCACTATCGCAGCCGTTGACTGAGACACGCAGATACCTGTCGCGCTAGTGGAGGCGAAGATGGTCACTATTTTGTTACCGTTGGATAGGGCCCACGCTTGGCTACGAGGGGGCGCACATCAGCGGCAGCTTGAACGCAGTGAACAAGTGCAACGCAAACGTGTGACGCGCGCACGACCAGGCTTGCCACCTCCGTCACTATCTAATTCAGCACAAAGAGTAGTGGTCCCAGTCGCAGATGAACTGGACCCTGTAGCGGACGTCTCCATACAGTCTACACGAGGGCGTTTACGCAGGGTGCTCGAATTTGCGGGATTTTGGCGTTCATAGCCAGAACTTCAGATACGCGGGTCATTTGTATCGCTCGTTACTTACATGAGTCCGTCCGAGTCAAAGCTTTCGGAAGGCATCTCTCGTGGACGATGATGTGATAAGGCTCAAAGGGAGAACTGATAAACTAAGGCAAAGTACAGGTGAGCGTCATGCATCGCCTGGCATGAGCGTGCGAAATGCTGCTAATCCAGTTACGTGAGTAAACTCGGCAAGCAGCAAAAAACCAACAATGTTTTGCGATGTGTTTGATCACACGTACGGAGCTGCGTCTCAGGAAAGCACGAAATGGATGCAATTCGTCAAGGTATCATGTACTAGAGTGTATCGTGTAGACGTCGGGCGCCAGGCATTCCGGTGCTACATTCAGGAACGCGGGAGCGAAGTATTACAGTGCTGAATCATGAAACAAAAGCAAAATTGTGAACACGGAGAGCACGAGGTGGGAGCTGGTGGGAGCACCGGTATAACTGTACAGGCGCGTCTTCACTGAGTACACGCGCGCGATGTTTGTTGATGTCCAAACCTTTTACACGCTGGTGGCAGTAGGACCAGAGTCGCTGGACGCGCCATCCGACGACGTCCTCCCTACGCGCGCCTCGCGGATCTTCTCGCGATGAGCCACGGAGATACCGAGAACTTCGTCCGCTTCAGGAGTACCCGCCAACGGGAGATCGCGACGCGCGGCGACCTTCACAGGCGAGACACCTTCACGGTAACCGACAGCAAAGATGATGTCCATGTCTTCTAGGCTGCGACCGCGGGTCTCGACAAAGAAGTACCAGCTGACAGGGAAGATGAGAGCATTCAAGCTCGCGAAGACGATGTAGGTCCCCCAATTGATGTTCTGGAACGACGGTCCCACAATCATGACCACGACAAAGTTAAAGATCTAGAGAATGAGCGAGTCAGCCCGGGCGATTCATATTGGATGATCTCTCGCGATGTCTGAACGTACCCAGTTCGATGCCGTGCTGAGTGCGTTGGCAGGAGCGCGGATATTGAGGCCAACAACCTCCGCCGCATATAACCAGGTCAACCCCAGGAAACCGACGGCGAAGAACGAGTTGAAGACGAAGAGAAGAACAGCGGAAACAATTTGCGTCGCGCTGTTATCGATGGCACCAAGGATGGCAAGGAGCACCATCGTGAGACTCTGGCCAGCAGCGCACGTCAGTATGAGGGGGCGACGGCCGACGCGATCGATGAGATAGATGCCGAGGAAGGACGCGAGGAAGTACTCCGTCCCGTTGCAGGCGGCGATGATGCGTGAATCCACGTCTGAGAGACCCAGACGCTCGAAAAGTACGGTCTAGAGATATGGGTTAATCGAAGAGGGCATAAAACGCGAGACTGCAAGCTTACGGCGTAGTAGGTGATCAAGTTGATACCGGTGATTTGCTGGAAGCACTGTACAGTGACAGCGAGGGCGGCGCGGCGGAAGTTCTGCTTGGGACCATGCGTGAACAGAACCTTGAGGTCGGTGCTGCTAGCCGTCTGCTCCTCGAGGTAGACGGCCTCGCGGATACCATGGTAAGTCTGCTGGACGTCGTGGTCGGTGTACGGCCTATCGCGCAAGGCGGCGAGTACAGCCAGAGCTTCCGCATTGCGACCCTTCTTCGCGAGCCAACGAGGAGACTCCGGGAGCTACAAGCAAGACTGAGCATGGTTTGACGACACTGGGTGTATATAAGGACTCACAATGACAACACCAATGATCATGATGACAGCGAAGACGATCTGCATGGAGATAGGTACGCGCCATTGGGCAGACGAACCCTTGATCCAGTAGAAGCCGAAGTCGATCCAGTATGAGACCATGATACCTTTTGTGGACGGTATAAGTCACTACCCTTACGCACGTTCCAGTAGAAGACGTACCGAATGCGATCAAAGTACCCTCCAGCATGATGTAGCTACCACGCTTCTCCGCGGACGAGCATTCAGCGTGATAAGCTGGTACCGTAGACGTCTGAAGATGCCATCAGTATGGTGTGCCATCATGCAGAACGGGATACTGACGTTGAGGCCGTTACCGAAGCCGGTTATGATGCGAGCAACCACGAGTTGAGCATAGCTGAAGGAGGTGGTTTGTAGGATAGCGCCGACGATCATAATAATACCGCCTATGGCTATTGTCTTTCTTCGGCCGAGTAAATCGCCCACCCAGAGATTGGAGAGGGCGCCAAACAGACATCCAACTTCCTACGTGCGCATGTCAGAGATGGAGAATCTTGAGGTATCATGAGACGCACATAGATAGCTGTTACAAAGCTTTGTAATGTTGCGTGATTGGGATGAGCGGCGCTCTCGACGACTTGCGGGAACGTCTTCTCGAACTGGTTTGCCGTAAGCAAGGCGCTCATGACACCCTGGTCATAGCTGAGAGTGGGATTAGTTCAAGTCAGCTGCAAGATAACATGTGCACGCGCACCCAAAAAGCGTAAACCCAGTGCCCGCGATGAAAGAGATGAGGGCGGTAAGAGTGCGGCCACGGAAGTGCGGAAGGTGGGAGTTGACCTCCGCCTCTGTAAGGTCGGGCGAAGAGGAAGCCGGTGCAGACGACTCGCGCTTCTCGTAGTCGCGCTTCTCGTCGTCAAAGCGCCTTTCGTTGGAGCGTCTCTCGTCGGAGACGGCGGAATGAGACATGGTACCAAGAAGATAGGAGTGCGTGCGGCGATGAGAGCAGACGATGCAGGACGATGAAGACGCGTCCAAAGTCAAGGTACCAAGAGGCTCGCAGGCTGGGGAGTCGGAGACAAAGATTTTGACGAAATGGGTCGCCGTCTTATAAGCAGATGAAGCGACTGCATAATGGTAGTAGGCGCCGGATGGAAAAATGTTGAACCATGTAGAGGTACAGGAAGCAGCTACATCGTCACCCTCGAACTGACATGGCGAGTTGAGCTCCAACGGGCCATGCGAAGTGACATTGATCGGGTGTATAAACCAGGTACCCGAGACGCTCGAAACGTAACGAAACAGGAAGACGAACTTGACGGTCAAGCAAGTTCGGTTCTTTGAGCTGGAGAGGATCGAGTTCTTGAGTTAGATGAATGAAGGCAAGTCAGCTTGACCGCAGATACTAGCTTAGTCCAGTGCAATCTTTACTTAGCAGAGGCGAAGGTCGGCCAGAGCGATTAACGATAACTTGAGGGTGCCACTGGGAACAGAACAACGTTGCATATTCGAGGGTAACGGCGCGCGCGGCGAGGTTCGCACCCGCCGCGTGCGGCCGGGACATCCGGTGCACTCGACGTCATAATCGATCTCGGAACGCAGCTGTGGCGAATGGTGCGGTGAATGACGGTTGCATCAGCAACTAGTACTATTTGCCTTCGAGCTCGTCAAAGTGTAAACCCTATGGAGCCGATTGTAAGAATGGATATCGAGACCAGGCGGGCGTTCGCTCAGCAACGGCGCTCAATGACAACTAGATCCTTTGTTTTGGCCTGCATCATTCCGCGTTCAGCGAACAACTTAGGTACGCCATTCCGGGGCAGGAAAAACATCAGTACGTCTCCGCATCTGCGAGCATCGGACGAGCACTCATAAGGGGCGGAAGGAGATGTGCGCGTGCTTAGCGCTTATGTCCGTTCGGGTTTGGTGAGAAAAAAGATACGTAGGCACAGGCTACGTGCGGCAAATGATCCGCGCTTCCGTATGGGTTCAAACTTCACCGGCTACCGCTGTTTTGCCAAGGTACGACGCGGGATACGAGGGGACTCTTCGAGTGCGGTGATGCCGATATCTTGACTCCAAAGGCAAACCGACCATAAGCAGCTATAAGCCCGATTCCTCCACCCGCGATGCCCGAGCGATTGGCAAAGGAACGGATGCTCGACATGTGGCTGCGAACCCCTATCGGCACAGAAGCCGGTTCGGTACAACCGATACATATCATCATCGATGGATGAGCGCTGAACGTAGTTGAACTGGGTTTACAGACCGAAGTTCCTGAACCTGGTTCGATACTTCAATTCACTGATAATTGCGGACTCCACTAATGGCTGTCACGCACGAAATATAGTATGCGGTGATGAATCATGAATTACAGCTTCGCTCGTGGCGGCTCAGTTTGACCAGCACCTTCCTCCCAATACACTACGGTGACAGTCACATCGTCACGGTATCTCCTCGAGTGCGGAGGCGGTATGCTGAGCTTTCGTCTGAGTGCGCCCTCATCGCCACCACCGAATGCGTTGCGAATGAGATGGGAGGATATATTCTCATCCACAAACGTCCATGGGCCGTTCGCACTAGAACCGCGGTCTTCCTTTCCCTGCACGCCCTTGCTACCTTCGCTTGTCGGCACAAGTTTCGCGAGATCATCCGAAGACACGGTCCCCTTCAGGCCGGACAAATGGCCTCCAACCAACGTAACCACTTCCTTTGACGAAAGTTCGTCCCAGAGACCATCCGTGGCGAGAACAACAAACTTCAAGGATGACTTCAAGGGCTTTGAGGGATCCGTGGTGTCTGTCGAAGGGAGGGTCATCTTGCGATGTGTAACCACAGGCGTCGCGATGACGTATGGAGGCGTCTTCAATAGCTGCGACGGAGTGCGCATCTGAATACCATTGCCGACGAGGAATGCCTTGTTCAACCTAGCGTAAGGCGTGAGCGCCGCAGACTGCGTACCAAAGAGACCAAGTACATACGCTTCTTGTACCGGCACAGGCCACTTATAGCGTGCATCTCCAAACGCACGAGATGGCTCGAGACCGCCCAGAATGCGACCTCTCCTTACAACATCGTCCGTCTCAGAAGGAGGGTGCTCAGACTGTATCCTAAGACCCAAGTCAGCTCGAGTGAGCGTCCATGACAAGACGATGAACGCACCTCTTCAATTCGTTGGGATTACGGCCCGTTTGATCCTCGCTCATGACCTCTACACGCCAGCGTCCGGAACCATCTGCAGTTTCCTCCCAGTATCCCGCCACGGCGCGCGCATCTCCAGTACACGCGACATGGATATCTTGCGCCGCGGGGTCAAGGATCGCCATGATAGCGCAGCTTCCTGAGTCATATGAGCCCCGCGAACACCGATGAGAATGATAGACTCGTACCAGACATCGCAGGCTGCATAACGGGTAGGGACATGGGGTTCTGGCTGAGGTCCGGTACGAGCCCCTTCCTCAGATATGCTTGATCCACATTTGTTACAAGGAGTTTCAGAGGAGCCGATATGATCTCGTAGTCCAGATCGGTGAAAGCCTTCTGTACAGCGCGCGCCGTGGCATCGGGTGTCAACTCCTTGGAGGGACCCGACGCTGCGAATGAGAGTGCGAGTTTCACGCGCTCATATATGGAGCTGCCAGAAGTGGCGGCCTGCGTTAATTCCAGCGCCACAGCCGGGATAAGTATCCTTGAAAGGAGCTGCGATGTATGGAAGCCTGCGTGACCGTCCATGACAGCGAAGAACATGCGCTGGTCCGCAGCACCAGGAAGCCTGGGATGTAGCCCATGCGAGTGCGCGTCTTCTATGGGATCATTTGACGCCACCCGCGCCGTAGTGGACTTCCATGTACGACCGTCGGGGGCGGAGTAATGCGTATCGAGGGAGGCTTGTTCAGTGAGGCGCGCTTCGATGGTAGACTTTGGGAGGAGTGGAAAAGTCCGCATGACCTTCACCGGTTTGCCGTCTGGACCTTGTACGCGGACCGGGAGATCGAAAGTTTCAGGACTGGTCGTTTGCCGTGTCGAGTAAAACCAGTACGCGGGGCCAGCAATAGCGACGGATGCCGTCAACGGCTTCCAAGCGCGGCGTAGCATGCCGAGATGGCAGGTTTAACAGGAGGAGACCTGTCGCTCCGCGCGCGCACCAAGTGTCTTGTCACCGCCGGTCAGCGCAGACAGAGACGGAGGATGGGGGACTAGGACAAGTCGCGTCGGCGCGTGTCTCCACACTCGGCACGCGACATTCAAGTTCAAACGCGATCACATGCTGTGCCCATGATATTCGTTTCGCTTTTGGACAAAAAAGACGTAGATGATACGCCACGATCTCACAGGCAGTCTGTTGCGACAAAACCAAACGATAACAACAATGATGATGATGCACATGCACGACAGCTACGACAGTATAGACAGCAGTTACAACGAGTGTACAACTACGCACGAATCCAACCTCTCTTCATCCCGAACGCGAGAACGCCCTGTGCATCCCGCACGTCAGAAATATCTGCGACCTTCGCGGCCGCCTGCGTCATCCTCCGTCCTTTGCGTGATGGCTTCTTGAGCACTTCCAGCGTTCGGCCCAATAGCTCGTCAACCTCGGCCAGTGCCTCGTAGCAGTCACGTTCAGAGAACTCGGATGACGACTCGAATGTCGACGTTGACTTGCGGATGGGCGGCGCACGCAAGCCTTTCGACTTGAGCAGCTTGCGAGTCAAGTAATGCAGCCACTGAAGCAGCCATCAGCAAGCAAACTTGGTCACGATGAAAGAACATTCTTACCATCACATTTGTTAATGGCCGGAAGCAGCTCCAGTCGCGCCCATGATGAGCACGCATAAGACGGTAAATGTCAAATTGGTAGTCGCCCTCGCCCTCGAAGATTTCTTCGTCGAATGGCGTCCACGTAGGCTCAGTCGCTCCATCATGTCCGCTCATGCGAGCGAGACCGAGATCGATGACTGTTGCCTGCACTCCGTAATTGGGATCATCCATGACACGCCGCTTGGAAGGCGCCTTCTTTGATATGTCGCGAACGAGAATTTGGCCCCAATGCAAATCACGATGCTCGAAGGAAACGAGGTCCTCGGCACTCGCGAGCGCGCGGGCTACTTGCCAGAAGATACTGCTTGCTTGCCGCCATGCTGTCTTCATCGGATGCTCGAATATGTAGGTCTCGAGATCGGGGCCGCCGTTCGGAAGCACAATGATGGCGTAGGTCTGGGACGCTGTGAACATATCTATACTCGCGGTGAGTAAGATGTTTGATATTCATGGACAATGAACGTACCTGGACGAATGCTCTCCGAGCCCTTGGATCCATTGTAGTCGTCCCAGAGGTCAAGAAGTAGTGAAGGATATTTGCCGCGCACAACATACGTGCGCAAGAGCTTGACGAAGCCTTGCGCTATATTTCCCATCGTACGTGTGACCAGAATCTCCTTGAGTACGTCACCTGGCTCGCTCGGGGGCGGGGTCTCCACACCCTGGGCCTGATATATCTGCCCTGTTGCCTCCGAGCGCAATGGCACCACCTTCAACACCACGTCTCCGATGCCGAAGACTTCCGAGTACGACGCTTCCCCGATCTTCTGAAAGCCTATGTCGGCGCCGCGTCCAGCAACCACGGGGTCGAATGGGAAAGTGCTGATGAAGGAAGAGAACTCGAAGGGCTCCGGTTGATCGCATTCAGCGAGTAAAGGTTGCAAACAGGCATCGAAGGTGCTCGCTGGCTCGGGGGTGGTAGAAGATGAGCCGATCTCCAAGCGCTGCAGCTCGGTCTCGAGGTCGAAGGAGTCATCAAATCCATCGGTGGATGATGGAGACGAAGGTCCTGGGGGCCGCGGGTGTTGGCCACGGAGGACAGGGCTGAGTGGACGTGTTTTGCGGGTATGAGCGGGCGGAGACGGGGGTAAAGCACGATTGACGAAGACCGGTCGAGAAGGCGGAATATATGTGGATAGGCGAGACGCCGAAGTTGCGGGATCCGTCGTTGCAGAAGAAAGGCGCAACGAGTCTCGGGCAGATGCGACCTCCATTGAGCGTCTGGTACTAGACGTCGTCGATGGGGAGGCGAGCTGATGAGCTCGTAGTTGGGGAGGAGCCTCATCGCTACCGGATTCGTCTGATTCGATCCGCAGTTTCCGGGATGAACGAGCGGGGGGTCGCACAATCTCTTCCTCTTCCTCCTCACTATCGGAGATGACGATGATAGGTTCACTGGGGCGTATTGGTCGCAGTAATGCACGGCGCGAGGGACCTGCGGCGGGAGGTTGTGTAAGGAGCGCCGGTACAGAGTGCTGAACGTTGACAGGGGCTTGAGCGGAAGATTTGACATTGACCGAGCGAAGGGACACAACGGAAGAGCGTGGCGGTGCAGCGGTTGGTCTGGGTTTGGGCACGGTGACCGTGCTCCGTTTGCCCGACGAGCCGCCCGAAGGGTTGGCAAGAACGTAAAGTCGCGACCTCCGTGGCGAGTTCTTGGAAAGAGATACTACCGCAGGCTTATCACTATTCTCGTCCGCTACAAGGACGGGGCCAGGTAGACGCGGCGGTTGCGTTTGAGTCTGCCGCGATGGACCAGTAGCGGCATTGACGACAACATCCGGTCGAGAGACACGTTTCTCGTGACTATGCTGTCTCCCATCGTCATCCATGACCACAATGTCCAGCTCTACAGGAGACTTCTTGGGTGTTAACTTCCGCGCCTGGACGGATTTCATGGGACGCGCAGGTGTCGTGGGAGCCCCAGCGTCTCCAACCACAGGGCGAATAGGGCGTGCAACAGCGAGAAGGATGGATTCAATATCCTCCGTAGGCTTCACAGCTCTCGACTTCGCGTCCGCAAGGCGCTTGAATGACTTCCCCGTAGTAGTAGCCGCCTTCCTTGGCACGTTGCCGGATGCAGGCGCCAGAACGACCCGCTCGACCGCACGCTCGGTTGTAGGACGCTGGATAGGTTTGACAGGCGGGTTAACGCGGCGTATCTTCGACGACATGACAGGGGACGTGGAGGGAGACGAGACGATCATCTTCTTGCGCGCGCGCCGAGCGGGCTTGGGTTGTGGCGAATCCGAGGCGGAGAACGTGCTCGACGCCGCAGAGATGACATTCTCGTCTCGCAGTCGCCTCAATTGTTTTGACGATGCGGGTGCCGGGGCCGGTGCAGGGTGCTCGTCCTGAGCTGGGCTGGCCGCGCGTTGGGCGGTATCGTCAGGGCGTTTCAGGGAGCCAGCCTCGAGCGCGCGCTTGGTGCGGCGTCCGTACTGCACTATTCGTCCGCCAGCCATAAGCGCCAAAAGTAGAGCACAGATCCCAATATAGATTGACAGGATGTCTTGAGGGAGGATACGGGAGAGTGGAGTGGCGCCGGCGTGTTCAAATGGTAGTCGAGATTCGAGATCGAGCTTTCGGCTTTCGGGCAAGGCAAGACACGAACCGAGTCGCACGTGTGGTTGATGCGGCCACTCGGACCGATTGCCGGTACGCGGTCATGGGTACGGACGTCGCGTCGGTTTGCACACGGATCCAACGCGTTCACGGCCACAATCACCATACCGCAGATACTCTACAAGCGATACCGGCTTCTTAATTTGGATATCTGCTCCAGTATGGCGTTACCGCCCCCTCTCCGATCTACTTTCTCTCCCGCCGAGCTTGAGCTCATCGCATGCGAAGAGCTCATCGAAATCCAGCCACTTATAGCCATGGAGCGTACCGCATTCATATCGGTTGGTCTGGTCACGGATGTCGGATCCTTTACTACCACTGTGCGGTGACTAGGGTGCATACGGTCCTCTACGACCTCCTCTGAAGGCGAAAGTGCCGATCTGGATGGCCGTCAACCTGAAGCTGAAGAAGAAATGCAATGTTGTACCACCAGACTGGCTTAGACCAGGTAAATTGCCATTGACGCCCTGCCCTACAATGCCTTCTCTGAGATATGGGTAGAGCATCTACGCGAAAGGCTGCAGCAAGAGACGAATAATCCGGGATTTAGTGAGATGCCACTGCGCTTTGCGGAGATCGCGAAGGTGCTTCTCGATGTGTACGCACCTTCCTACTCCCATTCATTAACCGCAATCTCAATGCTGGCTATTACAGAGCTTCAGATGACGTCCCGGAATCCGACAAAGTCCGCTCTCTGCTCAAGGATATCCGTGAAGTCAGACAGGCAAAGAGCCGGGATGGTCTACAGAACATTGACCGCAGCGAGCTTGCTGTACGTCATCTGTATCACCACTCGTCAGTGGCACCTATGACCTCATACTAATACTTTGGTACAGCTGGCGAACTTCTGCTCAATGGAGATCAACGAGATTCGACCATTCTATACTCGCGCGATGGACATCTTCACGCAACTACACTTCGAAGGCGCACCCGCGAACGAGTACTAAACTTCAGACACTCGGCCCCCCACATCAAACTTTGCGAGCCCGACGCTCAATCAATGGCGTCCGCTTAGCCTGGTGCATCATGAGCCAGCGCTCTTCGACCACAGTGTTGTGCTTTCTTGGCGCGAGCCAGCTTGCAGGATCAGGATTAACACAAACTGCGATAGCTATACTCCGAGAAAATGGATGCGATGGGAACCGAGACGGGAAAGATATGGTGTACACTGGAGGCGTCGGGTAACAAGTATCCGAGAGTAGTCCGGCTGAGGGTACTGTAACCGATGGCCGATCGAAAAGAAGATATATAGATGTATGACGTAGATACGAACACACTGGCGTCGAACGAGTTTGATAGAAGTTCGGAGGAGGTTGCGAATGTTGAAGTGTGGGGGGAGAAGTGACACAGCGGATAGCGAGACAGCGAGAGTAACGACAGAACGTAACGGGACATGATGTGATCTAAACAGCGTATCCAGAGCCATACGCGGGTGCCGCACCGTGCTGTACGTCGCCGTGTGTATGGTAAGAGGGCTCTGTGCCATAGTTCGACGGACTCGGGGAGCGGTACAACGGCGCGGCCGGCGCGGCGTTAAGGTGCTCTCCGCCGTAGCCCGCCTGATGCTGCTGCTGATAGTGTTGCTGCTGCTGCTGTTGATCGTATCCGTAGTGTTGATCGTATCCGGGTTGCTGTTGGTCATAGCCGTGCTGAGCATACTGCTGCTGATGTTGGCCGTGGGCATCGCCTCCGGCATATACGTCGTACGGGTCCGCGACGTATCCTTGACCAGCGCCGTAAGCATCCTGTTGACCGTACCCTTGTTGCCCTGATGCGAGATATGCTGTCGAACCACCGTACTGGTCGTAGCCTTCTCCAAGATCAGGCGCAGAAGGGTTGTAGTGCGCGTACGGATTATGGGGGTCCTGGAGCGTGCTATACGGTTGAGCATACGCGGGCATGTTGCTATAGTCCGGCACGGCGCCGACGTTATAGTCGCTAGCGACCACACTCTTCGCATCGCTGGGATAGAAGTCCGTATGGCCGACGAGCGTGCTACCGGGACCTTTGCTGCGGCCCGACCGGATAGAGATCTTGTCGTCGTCGTCGATATCGATATTCGGAAGTGTCGGCTGCGGGAGCGGCTGCTGCATGAGTTGACCCTTCTTGTTCTTCAAGTGGGAGTAATCTCCTGCAGCTTCCTTGCGTGCGAGTGAGGCCGCACGAGCAAGGCGCTGCTTGTTGCGACGACGGATGATCTCCGTGATGCGCTTATCAACCTTGTGACAGCAGTACTCCTACAGGAATCATTAGAGAACTGGCGGGCCTCGATAGAGATAGACACTCACCTTAAGGTTACCCTTGATGTGAATGAGAAGGGGAATATAAAGGACACCAGCCACGAGCAAGGTGAGAAGGGAGCCGGCGCAGATGATTACGGTGAACAGCGTCGAAATTTCGAGACAGGTGGTGACGACGGAGTTGCCCTCGAAATACTTCTGAATATACCACCACGGCCTCACGTCGGCCTTCTTCGAGAGGTATATAGCGTAGAGCGTGAGCGCATTGATGGTCTGGCGCGGGGCGTCGGCGAGTAACAGACGCTTCCAGCTCTTGAAGGTGAAGAAGATGAAGAAGGCAAAGTCGTCGGAGCGCTTGGTGGACGAAGAGATGTGATCGAAGAAGCAGAAGTGCGGGTAGGAACCTGTGGGGCGTGATTAGCTATGTTGCCATGGCGCATCAAGAATCCCGACGCACGGAGGGAATAGTAGTTGTTCGCCATGATGTTGGTGAACGCGTATGAGATATCATGGCTAGCGATGATCTTCTTTGCTTTACGGGACTCGTACGCCAGCTAAAGTCTGGTTTAGATGACGGCGTGATATGAGGGGGAGGGACGAGACGGACCAGGAGGAAGGAGAAGATAATGCAGCCGACGAAGAGCCATTTCCCCACGTTAAACGGGATGGCAACGCAGCCCTCGAGGTCGGGGCAGTCGTTGAAGATTTGGTTCGACCAGGATTTGGTAGTCAACATGGTGACGGCAGTGAAGATATCGGAGACGTAGACGAGGAAACTCTTGAGTACGAGTACGTAGAGCCAGAGATACCTGGGATCGGCGTTAACGGGGACTGCGCACCCGGGCTATTCGGGCGCTCGCCAGCCAGTCCAGATTTTGGACCGACGACGAGCAACACTCGAGTGCATTGATTGACACTCACTTCATGCGCATGCCGAAACCCTTGTCCTCGAACTCACGGACGTCGACAAAGTCGAACTGTGGGATCAGAGTCAGCCCACGGTCAATTAACCGAGATTATTCGCCTTTGAGCACACCTTGTGGTCCGGTACGATTTCACGTTTCCATTGTGGGCCTCCGCACATGATTGGGAGACGGTTGTGAGTGTAGGGAGCGGGTGGTTGAAGCGAATGGCGGGGTTGGCAACCAGGCCAGTCGATGCAATGAGCGTGGGCGTCGCGAGCTAGCGACTATCGTGATGACTGCGTGACGCAGCGAGGAGAGGGTGTGACTGTGCGGTCGTGTGCGGGGAGGAGAGGAGAGGCGGGGCCGGGCCGGGGTGGAAGGAGGTGGTCGGGGTCAAGCCTTGGTTCCCGCGCGAAGGCTGAATAGAGTCCCCTTGCATTCTTCCCATCATGACTACCGTTCAGAAAATAAAGGTCGGTATCCTCTCCCACTCAATTATCATCCCACACCTCACACCATTACACAACAAAGGAAATCGAAGATGAGATGGTACGGCAATATCCGGCAATGCTCAGCCAGCAGCTGCGCTAACAATGTTCTCGACAGGCCAAAAGTGCGTCATTGTCCCGTTTGCTTGGTCCCCAGCCATCAATACCGACATCCTCCCAGCCCAAAAGAATAAGGCCACGAGCTACCACCTGGGCCAGCTCAAGGCGAAGCTCGCCAAACTCCGACGGGAACTCATCGCCCCTCCGAGCACCGGTGGAGGCGGAGGCGGCGTCGGCTTCGATGTCGCGCGAACGGGTATAGCATCAGTAGGTTTCGTCGGCTTTCCTTCAGTCGGAAAGGTGCGTTCGCCGTCGGGTATCATACCTTGGCAGGGTGTCGAATCAAATGCTTCCCTTACAGTCGACGCTCATGTCAAAAATGACTGGCACGCACTCTGAAGTTTCCGCGATCGACTTCACGACCCTAACGACAGTACCGGGAACGATCAAAGTCCATGGGGCACCAATACAAATTCTAGATCTGCGTACGTTCAACTTCTGCATCAGATGCTCATTAACTAAGTCTTCATAGCTGGTATCATTGAGGGTGCTGCAGACGGTCGCGGTCGTGGAAAGCAAGGTACGCCATTATCTGCATGTTTTTACCCCCTCGCTCACAATACGTCCAGTCATCGCCGTCGCAAGAACGTGTAACCTCATCTTCATCGTTCTTGACGTCCTCAAGCCTCTCGGCGACAAGAAGATCATCGAACAAGAACTCGAAGGCTTCGGCATCCGCCTGAATAAGAAGCCTCCATCCATTCTCGTCCGTCGGAAGGAAAAGGGCGGCATAGCGATCACCAACACCGTCCCTCTCACCAACATCGACCACGACGATATCAAGGGTATATGTAGCGAATACAAGCTCAATAATGTCGACATCGCCATCCGCGAGCCTAACGCAACAGTCGACGACCTCGTCGACGTGATTGAGGGCAACCGCGTCTACATCCCTGCCATCTACGTGCTGAACAAAATCGACGCAATCTCCATCGAAGAGCTCGATCTCCTGTACAAGATCCCGTACTCCGTGCCCGTCTCCTCTGGCCAATGGCTCAACGTCGACGAGCTGATCGAGAAGATGTGGGAGGCGCTGAGGCTTGTGCGGGTGTACACCAAGCCGCGCGGATTGGCACCGGATTATACTCAGCCGGTTGTGTTGAGGACGGGGAAGAGCACTGTGGAGGACTTCTGTAACAGCATTCACAAGGAGATTGCGAAGCAGATGAAGTATGCCATCGTGTGGGGATCAAGCGCGAAACATGCGCGTGGACAGAAGGTTGGGTTGGAGCATGTACTCCAGGACGAGGACGGTGAGTGCTTGCTACCCTCTATGTCATATTCTCGGCTGACTCTTGTCAAAGTTGTTCACATCGCAAAGAAGTAGGCGTCTGTTATTCTACATGTAGCGTACTTGTATATCATCCACTGTATCCCTATCCACATCTGCCCGCACACTACGACATGAGGTACAAGTACGCAAGACGGATATAAGCCCAGACAAGCCCGATTGCGCAATATACGCTGGTAAGCATTAGAGGGAAGAAAGCCCAAGCTTCGTTACCGCCCGTGAAGGCGGGGAAGAGCATCGTGACGGGCACCAGGACGTAGAAGCCGCAGAGGTAAGTCATCTCCAGCCAGTTGAGAATGACGCCGGGTGCGCTGCGAGGGAATCTGGGCGTGGATGTTAGCTTACCAAGGAGAAGGTGACAAGTGGGAGGCGTACTGATAAAGCCGGCCGTGCAAAGGGCGGAACGTGAAGAGGGTCCATAGCAGCGTGTAGCCAATCTCAACCAGTTGCTCTATAGGATTAGCTCGTCAGCAAGTACTCAAACTAGCCTATCTGGAGTTGACATGCCTGCTGGAGTGAACAGGAGCGGGAATAGCGACACTATTCCCGCAGCACTGGCGATCACGAACGTCCTGAACATCGGGTGCCCCTCCGCCGCGAGTAAACTCAACGGCACCAATACCAGGAGCACAGCCTTCTCATGCACATGCCAACCGAACATGAAGCTCGTGTATCCGCATAACGTGAGCGCGGCGACAAAGGAGCGGTACGTTGGGACGCGCCAAAGCTTGGCAAGGAAGACGAGCTGTACGAGGACGGTTATGATGAAGGTATGCATGGGCTGGATGTTGGGCAGAATGGCGAAAGATGTATCCCCAACTAGGCCACGAGAAGAAGAGGCCACGCCCGCAGAGTCGACGTCTAGGCCTCCGCCGAAGCGCTTCACATCTGTGCATGACATATCAGCTACGAGAATGCATGAAAGCCCTCTGCTATAGAAACGCACACTGCAATAGGGCTCGATCCCCAAGCGTGACCAGTGCCCAGGCGTTTGGCGCCCAGTAGGCATGGTTCAATCCACGGGTGAAGGGGAAAAGGCGTGAAAGTAACTGAGGTATCTGTCCCATGACGAGGAAGGGCAGCAGAGATACACCGAAGACTGCAATGACTGCGTTTCCGAGCAGCATCAGGTTTTTCGGGAGCAGTGAGCCTGTAGGCGACATGCAGTATGAGCGGAGGAGATACACGAAGTATGCTGGCTAAAGTGTATGTGAGAGGAGATGGGCGAGTTTGCGATGTCCATCTTACCGCGAGGTACATGTATATATGCTTGAAGTTCAAGAGAACAGCAAAGAGGATGCCGCTCATCAGTTTGTTGCCCTGCGACGAATTGTCAATCTCGCGATGTTCCGTCTGCACCAAGTCTGCACGCCTTCGTTCTCACATTTCGTGCGCTCAGAATGGAGGCAAGCAGGATGCCATACATAAAGCCATTGTATTGGAAGTGGATGTGGTCGACGATGATGAATCCGGGGTGCAAGAATAACGAAGCGGAGATGAGTCGCTGCACGGTAGAGTCCGCCGCGCCTCGACTGAACCTGCACACCAGAACTCAGCGTTCTAGATAGCAGATAGGTAGTCCGAGCAAAATACCTCAACAATACGGCGCCAAGGAGGAGCTCTGTCACAATGACAGTGGTGCGTTGATACACTATGACAGACCACGCGTTATAATTCAGGTTCTGCAGGTCGACTATCTTTGAATCGACGAGATACGCCGGTATTGACAGAAGTTTCTCAAAGTAAGCAAAGAATGGTGGATAGTCCAAGGCTGTCAAAACGTCAGAATGCAAGACGGGGCCGGTCAAGACTAGGCGACCTTACTCCATTCTGATGTTGTCTGCGCAGATGTAAGCAAGACTCATAAGCAGGTCGTACTGCGAGGACCCACGTCGTAGTACCACTGCGAGAGAGGTAAGGAATGTGTAATAGCCAGCCAGTTTCGGTGGACTTCGAAGTCCGTAGAGCGACTGTATGTTAAGCCTTATTCGGATTATTATTCCCCAATGGCAGCATAACTTACTACGCAGGGAAAAGCAACAATTTGAAGACAGTCGAGTACACCAGAATATCACGCTCGGAGGAAGACATGCCCAATTTCCACCATGACGATGGCGGCGTCACAATTGGCTGCACCGGCTGCTCGGGCTTTGTGGCACCCGTAGACGAGTCTGGTGTCTCCATGACTTGACTGAGACACGCAGGGTCAACAAGGAGCTTTCAAAGCGCTGGCCGTGTTGAGCGAGCTTCTAAAGAGAATATGGAGCCCGAGGTACTGGAAAGCAGGGTGACGGTGCGGGAGCAGGCCACGAATCAACTTCATCAGCGCGAGCTTGATGGCTGCGTACACGTGGCATTTAGCTCGCTAGTCCTGATAATACGGACCTTGCCAGTCTGATTGGACATCCTTCTGTATGCTTGGACGTGCGTTGTATGAACCTGGGTCACGTCGATATGTCTCGTGCTATGTGACAATCGCTGCCTACAGTTGATGCAAAGGAAAATCCACTACTACTGCTACATCCTCATAGTCCGCCCAGATGACAATACACCGAATAACACATCGAATCCACTACGTTACCACGCTACCGCCTTACATCGCTGTGACACCGTTCTGCAACTTCTTGAAGTTAATCTGCTTCTTCGCACGCCTGCCGTACGTGACCTGTCGACCAGTGAAGTTCTTCGGCAATCCGCTCTTCTCTCGCAAGTCCTCTTCAGCCTTGCGTTTCGTGCCCGCGGATGTGGAAGACGCCGCGCCGTAGAAGTTGCTGGGCGCGATGGGACCCGGCGTCAGCGGACGGTGAGCGGGCGCGGGCGCGACGGGAGTCTTAAGCGTCGACGGCGCTGACTCCGGAGTGGCCGCCTTATCACCATCATCATCATCTTCATCGTCGCCGTAAGCCGATAGGGAACCTAGAGCGGCAGTTGTCTCTGCCATGGACGCAGACGAGCTGGAAGGCGCATGCTCCCCGACCTTCTTGAACTTAGACGACGTGACGGGCGTATCGTCCTTTGTGGAGAGTTGAGGTCCAATGAAAGGCCTCTTCGTCGCGGGCTCGGGCGTGGCAGAGGCAGAGTCGGGAGTCTTGCGTTTCTTGCCCATTGCCGCGACAACACCCTTTTGAGGCGCGTTCAACGGCGTCTGCTTGGGCGTCGTGCTAACCGGGGTTACGGGACGCTCCCGCACGCCATTGGAACGAGCCGTCGAGTCGCGAATATAGAACAGGATGTACGCGCTCTTAAGCGAAGTTGCGGGGCGACAACGTGTGACAGACTCGTCGTTCATCTCATACCATGCCCCCCTCCCACCTTTGACGAACGCATAGTAGTGGCCGGAGTTGGGACCGCCGCCAGCATGACAGATGACGCCGTAGAGCGTATAAGCCAGCGGGGCTGGTGGCGCCTCGGACATGACATCGTCGAGGGATATGTGCTGGTCATAGTCCACTTGCTGCCCGATCTTGCGACCGAGGGGAGAGAAGCGTTTGAGGTGGATGGTAAGCACGTTCGGCGCTTGATCGACCGTGAAGCGCTTCTGAGCGGAGACCAGTTTCTTGCACCTATCCGAGGGTCAATTTCACGGACACGATGGGCTTGGAACTGGGTGGACGTACTTCTCACACTTGTACTTGTTCTGGCCCGTCAAATGATCCACCTTGGTGAACTTCTTCAACGCCTCATTGAGATTGCGCGTGCCGGTGATCTCGAGACTGAGGTCCAATATATTGTCGAAGGTGTCACTGTTGTGCTTGCATTGACTACAAGTTACACGAGAGCGTAGTCGACCGCCGAAGATTTTGTGCACCCAAGTTGACTCGGCGATCTTCGGGTCCGGTTTACTGCCGACTGTGATCAGATTGGTCGACGGGCGTGTTGGGAGACCCGACGTACGGTCCATATCCAACAAGACATGACTTCTGCAACGCATCGACGGCAAAGCGCAAGAACTCGTGCGAGTCTTCTTGCCTTCCGCGGACCATGTGCTTAGCGATGGCTATCGAGCGCGCGTCAATACGATGCTCGCGAAGGGGATACGATGACGCACATTTCAGGCCGTTCGTGATCATGTACGGTGTCAAGCTCCTCTTCTTATTCATCAACGAGTCCATTACGACGGCCTTGAGCCCGCAAGACATGCAGAAGCCCTTTCTCACGCGACCTTATTGCTGTTGTCAGCCGAGGACGGTCGAAGGCTGCCACGGGAGACGTACACTCATGACCCTTGATCACGTTCGCGAGGGGAGCGGTGTGGATCAGACATTGCAGCGCGCTGTTTAGGAAACATGTATTGCCGGTATTGTTGAGCCCTGCTCCGACCTCCTGGAGAAACGCCCAAGAAGTGTCGAGTGCGTCAGGCGAAGAGGCAGAAGAAGATGCGACGGCGTTCTCGTGTGCAGAGCCACGGCGAGCCTTGGTCGTGTTCGGCTAGAGCGTATGTGAGAACAGGAGCCACCGATAGCATAGCCATATACACGGACCTCGGTCTGGGATTCAGGAGAGGCGTTGATTGGTTTGAGCTTTGTGTGGCCGACGACCAGCGTACCGGTAGACGATCCTTGAACGAATTCGACCGCGGGCGGCAAAAGCGCATAAAAGGTGGCCTTGTCCTTGGCCGGCCGGCGTGAGGTAGAGAGCTCTTGCACGAGCATTTTGCGAGGCTGAGTTTGCTGTGACAAGGGGCAGGTGCGGGGAGTGGTCCGAGCAGCAGTGAGCGCCAGACGTATGCGTGGAAGTTGTATGGCTAGATTAGGCACGCCCAGGGCTGACGTGATGGTAGGGGGAGAAACGGTAGGATGAGTGCCAGGACAAGCCGGACCTCGCCCACGCGCCAAACCACTCTCCGAGAAAATTCAATTCAGCCGCCACATCCACGCTCACGTGCGTTTCGTTTATTGCCTCCAACCTTCACCTTCGCGTCTCCTCTCGTGTCGCCAATCCCTCGATTGCAACATTTGGACTTGAGCGCGTGATAGGTAGGAGTCTGAAATGAAACGTATAGGGATACGGCATATAATGACATAATTGCCCGGTATCAGGCGGACATAACGCGCATACAACTTGAACGGAGACGAATGCCGAACCTATGCTACATCAATTATTTAAGGTGAATATAGTAAGCGTGTAGACCGTGATGATGAATGCTAGACGTCGTGTCGAGAGCGTAGGAGAGGTGTGAGTCACAGTGACAAGACCCGGGGTAACCGCGCTAGCGCGGATGAAAACAATAAGTAGAATATAGGATATCATGCGTTGTAATAAAGGTTGTACGCGCCCGTGTTCCACATGTCCTGCGTCGGCGGTGAAGGGGCAATCGACAATCCAAAACAACCGTCGTCAGGCATAACATACTGATGTCCTTCAACCCACGCCGGAGGCGCGACGCTGTACGGGGCCTTCTGGTACGTCGATCCCATATCGTAGACCTGGCTGTTATACGGAAGATTGACAGGCGAAGGAGCCAGCGAGTGCAAAGCGTGGGTGCTTGGGGACATGAGAGGCGAGTTTCGCGACGATGAGCCGTCGGGAGACAGGGCGTAACGCCGTGTGTTTTCCCAAGACGCGAGTGGCGAAGGCTGGGCGTGCGTTGGGGGAGGAAGGACCAGACGCGGAAGCTGCACAGCGTTGTGGTAAGGCGTGTTCATATCCCTGCCGTAAAGGGTAGCATCCTGGGGTGGAACGGGTGGACGTCCGAGGTCGTGAGCGTGAGCGTACTCAGGCTCATTCTGCGGGATGCCCATGTGAAAGTCCATATGTTGCGTCGCGACCTCCTGAGGCTCAGGCTTGATCACGGATCGACACTCTAGTGAAACTGGCGCTTCGTGTTCGTTCTTCTTCCCCTTCGAACGGCGAGTCGTGCGTGGCGCTTTAGATCCTGACGCTGATTGTTGGCGAATCTTTGCAGCCTTCGCTAGTGCCTGCTCCTTCAACGGCCTACGAGGGAGAGCAACTTTCATCGAGTTGTCGTACTCCATACGATGCGCGTTACGCATGTGACTCTTGAGTTGTTCTTTGCGCTCGTAGCCGGAATCGCACTGGGGACAGCGATGTCTTAAAGGCACATCTGCGTCGCGATGCATTTCGGAGCCTAGGTGACGCGAGAGCGAGGATGGATCGCCAAAACACCGGCCACAGAGCGGACACACGTAAGGCTTCAACCCAGTGTGCACGTTGTCATGGATCACGAGAGCAGAGCGCTGTTTGAAACGCGCATCACAACCATCCCATTTGCACTTGTGCCAACTGCATACCCCCGTTCAGCACAATGCGATAGTTTGACGATGGATGGATGAACGCACTAATTATCGTCGTGTTCACGGAGGTGACGGTTCAATCCAGCTGTGTCTGCGTAGGACTTTTTGCACACTGCACACGGAAACGGTCCACGTTTCTTGGTCGCTGTGGTACGCTGTTGCACACGGTCAGAGTCGACCCTGATATGATCTTGTCTCGATACGCACATGAGGAGGCATAACGGCACTGGATCAGTCGACGGGAATTATGGAGATGCCGATCTAAGGTAGAGTGATTGATGCCTTCGTGACAAGTCGTGCCGTATGAGGTTGTCTTGAGCAAGATAAGAAACCAGAAGACGTTGCTCAGCAAGTCTCGCGCCAGGCGTTTAGATAGATCGTGGGACACTTGAACCAGAAGCGTCCGGAGACCGAGAAATAGGACGATCGTCAAGAGGGAGAATGGGAGAGCTCGGTTATTCCGGATTCGTCCATGAACGACGAGTCAGGCTCTTATGTACCGTAGACCGCTAATGGCGTCTTTTGTCTCCCTATAGGAGCGTAGCGCGAGCGGGTGACCGCATTTCGCACAAGCGGATGATAACAAAAGGCATATGCACCTGCAAGAACGGGAAGAAGGACGGCGCCATAATTAGGCTGAGACACAGTCTTGTTGTCCAGGGCGGTGGACGCGTAACACCGGCACTCTCGTACATTCGGGGAACAAAGCGCACAGAGGGCGCGCGTCGTCATCGCCTCTGGAAGTACCACCTCCTTAGCATAATTGGGATTCCATGGTGACGAAGAACAAGGCCAATCGCAATTGAGGAATGGGCGCCCATTGCTGCGAATGTCAATCGCGGCATCAGTCTCACGGAGCTTATGTAAGAGGGTGTGACAAAAAGCATCAGAGTGCAAAGGCCCGCAGCAACTGGCCATCGGCTGTGCAAGTGTCAACCAGTCGTGGGTGAAAATGTATGCAGGTCCCTGTGCGTAGAAAAGGGAAGGTGCAACTTGTGCTCGCCATATACATGCACGGCCGATGCGAGATTTGCACTTGTGACGCATACAATAGATGCTTGTAGTCCAATGAGTCCGAGAATCAACAAGCTACTACACGATCAAGGCCCAGGAGGACGATGTGCCGTGCCCTGGATATTCAATGCCCGAGGCCCTGGCCGAAGACACGCTGGCGAATATAGTCTTCTTTCATCCATGGTGCAAGCGCGTCAAGGTCAGCGAAGGTGAACGAAGCGTATTGACTACGTCCCGGCCCATTGATAAGATCCGCGTCCTGGTAGTTTAGACTAGGCCCGCTGTGAACATTAGTCTGAGAGCCGGTAATTTGCGCTACCAGCCTAGACAAGTTTGTCAGTAGGTGTATCGAGCGTCATGGGTTCACACGGACATCATCGGGCCCACCCAGTACCGCGCGTTTTCCTCGAGCGTACTCGAGCCAAGCCAGCGTTTGTCATGACTGTCGGGTGTGTAGAACGGGTACTCCGCGAAAGCTGGTGTGGGTAACGGCTGTATGAGTCGCTCATAGGTGAAACCATGCGGTGGTCTACGGGACGAAGAATCTGACGCATTATCAGATGCCGGTATAGACCAAGCACACTATGGCAATGCATACCGGGTGGGAAGTCATCAGACGTTGATGAGCCTATAGAGAAACGCGACATGGGACTGCCAATTAACAATTCTCCTAACGTCTCTTCGCCGGATGTTAAAAGACCTTCGCGCTCGATCCCAGGAGGGTGTAGGAATATACGGGCGTTATCGTTGATGGTATACCTTCCGCGTGGTCTGTTCAACACACCGAAGGCCAAGATGCGAACGTCCGCAAACTCAACGACAAGCTGCAAGCGGCGCATATAGACGGTGATAAGAGGGCAGAATCGAAGCGACTCACTCGTATACGTGTTTCAAGATGGGCCAAGTTAGAGTTTACTCTGTACGCATATCTTTGGTCAGCAAGAGTAACGGCAGGCCACTTGAAATGCGTACTTCATATCATGAAAGATGTTCGCAGGATTAAAGTTACGCGATGATACGTCCAGCTCATTTGCGGTCCCGTTCTTGTTGAGCACCACGAACCTAGAGAACTATGAGATCATCTGCGGTGCTGATACTTCACTCGAGGCTCACTTTGTCCAAGCTTCCTCCGCGGTGCAAGATGTCTGACTGCGGTGCCACACACGCATGAGAACTCTGCATTGATTACCGACTGAGCGGTGTGTGATTGCGGAGCGGCTTGGTACGAACCGTTTGTAAGCCTCCCTCCAACTGAGGTCACGTTTCCATTTGACCCACCCCGGCAGGAAGCGCTTTCTGAAGATCATCTCCCAGTCATCCTGCTTCAGGTTCGGGATCGTGAAATCGAAAAGGATAAAGGCAGGCGGCGCCAGCGTCAGTATGTCCACGGCATTTTGTCGTGGCACTGTCGAGCGCTCCGTGATGTGTCGCAGTAGGGGTTCGTCAGCGCAAGTGCCGTCCAACAGTATGCGAGCGATGGGTTGACGCCACGGGTTGAGAAAGGGGTCGGATATGATCTCGCGAAGCCGGCGAGAAAGACAGGACACAATCACAAGCGAGCCGAGGTCAAGTTCTTCGAGAACCGAAACGACGAGTTCAACAGGCAGTCCGTCGAAGTTCATGTAAGTAAGCTTTAGAGTGAATGGTGAGAGTGGGTAGCAAGTTCAGCTCCTGACCAGGCGCTAGATCCGCGCCGCACAATGCCGGTGATGTAACCTCCCACGATCACTCGCTATGCGGGTACAGTAGCAAGAGTGTTCAAATCAAACGCGGCCAAGTTGTACAGTTCGTCCAGGGTATGCAAAGCACAAGGTGGTGTTGATGTGGTCAAGACACGCCGACGCGGAGCGCGCATATAGATCCACAGCTTCTTTGCGAGTGTCATAAACATGCCATTTATTCTCCTCGTACACCACACGGGATACAGAAGGTCCAACATGACCCTACGCACGGACTGCTCTGATGTTATAGTCCCGTTTGAACTTGTCAAACTCGGACTCCTTCGCCTTGTATTGATCTGCGAGATTTTCCACCACTTTCCTAATCTGCCGAAGTCGTTCAGGATTAACGGAGTCATACAGGTACGGGTCACGCACGTTATCGCAATTGTTCTGCAATTGCGGTACGACATCTTTCACCGTCCGCTCGGCGAGTACGCCACCAATCAGTCGAAAGCATTTCCTATTCGGATCTTTCCCCAGAGCTTCGTTGAGGGTCACCAGGACGAGCCTGGCGTCATATTGATCAGTATAGAGTAGTATGGGGGTCCTTTGACGACGCACACATGCTCCTCGGCCTCCTGCTCAAGCTCTCCAATCTTTCCTGCGATATTCTGCATCTCACCCTGCAGGCGTGTGTAATTTTGCTGCACCTCTGAGGAGTTGAGAGAAATATAGACCAATGCGAGCGCGACACACACCCTCTTGGGAGAGGACTGACGGCACCGTCGCTCGTTTCTTGCTGGACGACATGGTGGTCGATGTGGAAAGACGATCGCTCGTAGCAGCAGTCACGCCATCACAAGACTCAATTGATCGCTTCAAACGGACGCGGGTTTGCCATTGCCCGAGACAGTGGTGATGTAGATTCCTCTTTGTTTGCTCACTATTATCGTATCTTACTATAAAGCAGTACTCTGCGCAACGTAATAGCGTGCCTCGCGCTCCGCATCCTGACCCTCTTTCACCCTACGCCACTCGAAAAGATACTCAAAAGTTGCCGGGTTGTCCCTCTCGAGCGTCTCGAGCAACTCCTGGGCCACAATCGCCTCCTCCTCACCCGTCCGTTCGATGTTCACCTTCACATCCGCACTCTCTGCTGCGCCTTCACCACCATCCTTCCCCCGATCCTCCACACCCGCCCGTAGTTGGACGGGCGTCACGACATGGCCGTCCTGCAGATGTTCCAAGACAGCCCAGAGGAGGCGAACGACATCGATATGCGGCCGCCACTGGTTCCACGCAGGCGATACATGCTGCAACAACCTCAAGGGATGCAAAAACGAACCGTGTCCGCCATCATCAACCCCCTCAAAGTCGCTTGAATCGGTGAAGCTGGCCGTCCGCTTCACATTCGCAACGCGCACCTCCGCACTCATCCTCCCACTGCCGGCACCGGATGCTTCTTCAACTTCTTCCGCGCTGAGTAACGGCGAATCTCGAGGTATATGCGCGGAAATAGGTTCCCGGGCCTTTGCGCGATTCGGAAGGATGATGCGCTCAAGTACTGAAAACGCGCGAGGTAGCTCCCCGGCGCGCACGAGCACCACGACAAGGTGATTCCAGTTTCGTGCATCGAACGCAAAGCCAGCAGAGTGTGCCGTGCTCCACAATTTTGCCACTTCGGCGTGCGCACCAGCGGCCGACAGGGCGTCCAGGATGATGCTTAACGGCAGGGATATAAGGTACGAGGGCCGCCTCAGCGCGCCGCTGCGCATCGTGAGATCGCTGACGTCCGAGAGGCGAAGGGCACGAGAGTACACTTCTTCCCAGACTCGACGCGCGGATTCGACATCGCCACTCCTGCGGTGAGCATGCAGAGCGACCGTCAAGAGCCCCACTGTCCGATCTCCTCCCTCTGCCAAAATCTGCGTTTGGAGCGCCTCAACCATTGCCTGATCCCGCTTGCCGGCCGCATGATGCATGAGGGGCCCAACCATTGTCTGCAGGGCTGCATCACGAGGAGTATCGGCAGTCTCGAGGTCTTGACTGGTCTCAGCGCTGAGAATGTCGTTCAGAAACGCGCGCGCTAACGCGAGACTCTCCTCAGTACCCTCCGTAGTGTAGCGCTTGATGATCGCGCCGTACGTGACTGCCGAGGGCTTGATACCACGTGCAAGCATATCTTCGTATATCGCGCGGGCGCGGTCGGTGTTGCCTTGCCTTAGCCAGCCAGACATGAGGATGGTGAGGACGTAGACATTCATCTCGAAGCCTGAGGTCGAGTCCGCGGCAAGACGTGCAAAGCGCCGGTACAAGCCAGTAGCAGTATCCATGAGCCCTTGATCGGATGCGGACTGAATGGCGAGGGAATAAGTGTGCCGAGTAGGGCGCACACCATAACGCTCCATCTTCTCTAGCAATGCTCGTACAGCCCAAAACGGTGCGCCGAGAAGGACGTAGGACTTGAGTAGAGTATTGAACTCGTGTGCGCCTGGGCGGCGGTCGCGCGAGCCCTGAGCCAGGAGGTACTCGAATGCGCGGATTGCACCCATCCACGAGCCTGACTCTGCGTGCGCATTCATAAGCGCCGAGATCATCGTCTTGTCGGGTGCGACACCAACTTCAAGTGCGCGCCGATACACGTCCTCCGCTGCGAGCGAGTTACGCTGCTTGCCGAGCATTGAGATTACTGTCGTGAACACCTCGGGTCTTGGCCGTAGTTTGCGCTCCAACGTTTGATTAACGAGTGATGCGACCATGGGCCCGTCACCCCGCTCGGCGTAGAACTTGACGAGAGAACTGTAAACATGCACGTCAGGCGCGAGACCCGCCCGAAGCATTTCGCGCAGCCAATGTTGAACGCCACTTGGATCTCGAGCGCGTATGTGGGCTAAGAGGACATGAAAGTAATGCACAACGTCCGGTGCACGCGCTTCGCCTTGTTGGCCGAAGAATCTTTGAAAGACTTGGAGGACGCCCTCCTTGTCCCCACTCTCTGCATGCGCGTGCAGCAGTTGCGCGATCTTCCGGTCTGACACACGCCCCAGCTCTTCTAAGGAGGAAAAAAATTCCTGGGATTTGACCGCGTCTCCTCGCGAGGAATGGAGACTCAAGCCGGTTGACAGGTACTGATCCACGAGGTTTCTATCATGCCAATCGAGTGCGTCGAAGTTGATGCTCGAGAACACATGCATTGCGCTTTCTGTAGCGCGGGCTTTGATGAGCGCATGGGACAGTTGAAGGCGTAACTTCTCGGGGAGATGTAACCCTTGCTCGCCCGCGGAGTCGACAATGACCAGCGCATCATCAGGTGCGCCGCGCATCATGAGTAGATGCACCAGGAGTTGTGCGGTGTGCATGCGGTCCTGCCGAGTGCCGGAGACGTAGGAAGGAGCGGAAGAAAGCACAAGCTCGTCTGCCATGAGATTCAACGCTCGGTGCAGGGGCTCCCCACCGGTCTTGCCGACGTGCGGGAGTTGGATGGTTGGATCAAGTACATAGATCCCAACAGTATCCCATCGCGGGAGCAGGAAGTCGAGCACTGCGCGGACACCACCAGAGCGGTATAACATTTCCAGCAATGTAGATAGCGTAATAGTCTCGACTGAGCCAGGGGGAGTTGGCCGATGCTCCGAGTATTGTTCCGAACGGTGCGGAGCGGTAATTGGTGCGGCAGACGCGTCGATGCGTCGTTGAATGAGGCGGTCGCAAATGACGATGGCATCCTGAACCTCGCCGCGCATCGCGTGAAATCGGGCTTTGAGACTGAGCCACTGCTCTGTCGGCGTGGATGCGTCACCAGCAGGGCGTAGGAGAGACAACAATTCGAATGCGCGCGTGGTCCAGAAGGGAAGGCGGCTTGCATGGGAAGGATTGGGGTTGCGAACTTCATGCTGAAGCATGCTCCGGGCGAGTTGTTCCAGGAAGGCGTAGAGGTCGACGGATGGGGAGCTACTTCTGGAGCGGAGGTATTCGAGGGCATTCCAAGCAACGGCCTTGGACACGTATTTCCCGGTGCGTGGTAGCCGGTGTCCGGCGATGAAGGTCGCCACCAGTAATGTTGGATCGTCCGTACTTGGGACACCTGGCGAGTTCGAAGAAGACCCGGGATCGACTGCATGCGACGAGTGACGGACATGACAGGGCACGAAGTTGGAAGGAAAGCCGCGGGTCGCAGAGGGGCTGAAGACGGACAAGCCCGGGATGGTGCTGGCAGGGTTCAGTCGCCACAGCAGGCTAGCGGATACGTGATTTGGCGGTTGCTGGCTTGGTGGCCGACCTGTGAGAATGTCAGCACATGCGGCGACCTGTATGCGTCAGGCGAAAGCTTACAGCGAGCGTCATGGAGCCAATGCATGTTCGTGCCCCCGTCGCCTTCCGATACTGCTCGCTCCTTGCCCTTGGTCCTATTGCGGTAGAATACAGTGGGCTCCGTGCCCAACGCAGACATTGGAGAAGTCTCCGCCGACAAATGCCGTACAGTCGCGTTGAGCAGCTGGAGGACGACGTTTGGGTAGAAATAATTGCTGAACGGGTTCAGGGCCGCGACGACAGGCTCGACCATCGCAGCCCGCTCCAGCAACAATGAGCGCGACACTCGCAACGCCACGGGCCTCAACCCGGCCGTCCTAAACAAGTCGAGAGCGAAGGAGACGGCGGACTGCTTGGCGGTCAAGACCAAGTCTCGGAAATTATTGAGGCGCGCCTCGTGAACGCGTCAAACTCAGCTGGCCAGACGCGGCCTGGAACTCACGCGCCCGCCCGCCTCTCCTCCCGCTCTCTCCTCCTCCAGTTGGGATGTTTCATTCAATTATTCAACGTGCAAAGCTGCAACACGGGTTGATATGCCTGACTATTCCGTGGCGTCATCACGCGTGTGCGAATGAGGTTATGATGACTCGACGACTGCGGCCTGTTCTCCCACTTCGTCCGCCTCTTCCTGCTACCGGTCTTCGACCATGAGCACCGCTATGACATCTAACAACCCAGTCGCGCCCCCTCACGAAGTAATAGTTGCGTCAGACTATCCGGATCAGGAGGCACGGCTTCGTCAGCAGTGCTACGATGTCCGAGCGGAAGTCTTTTGCACTGAGCAAGGCTTTTCCCTTGAACTCGAAATTGACGAGTGCGTGTATTCTGGTTATCTCGGTCCATGAACTTGAAGCTCATGAAACATTTGGTCCACCTGTTTCTTTCTGCGCTACTGCGTTTACCTCTGTGAACCGATGCGTATTCGACAAATCTCACTGCGAACCTCATGTTCACGTATTTTGCCCCGATTCGCATCTCTCTGTCACACCGCCAACCCGGGCATCCCCTTTCAACGCGCCACTCGACCACACATGGGACACGTTGCCTCGTGCTACTGGATGCGTCTTCTTTACTTCTACCGACAATGGCCTCGTTCGCCATTGTCCGCCGACGAACCATCCACGCCCGATCCGCATCTCTTCGCCCGTCTTCTCGCCCGACGCAACTCTGACCCGCCGCTCTCCGCCCGAATCCGTACATCTCTCCTCCGCCTCCAACTCCGACCGTACCCTTTGCCCACCGCCGCATCCGTCTCTGCTCACGCTCGCCCCGTATTGGCTTACACTCAAACTCCTGGCTTTCCGCCTTCCTTCGGCGTTCGTCATCGGTAGAAATGACGCTACGGCGACACATCTCCTTCTGCGGCTCACGCCCTCGCTCAGTCCGATCGGTACACTTCGGCTGTATCCTGCGCCCGACGGTTCGCATCTCATCCTTGGACGAGTCGCGATCCTCGCTGCGTACCGCAAATACGGCCTCGGTAAAGTTCTCATGCTTGCCGGGCATGAACGGGCCGTGCGCCAGCCGTATCTTATCCAGCCATCTCTCGCCAACCCGCCGGTAGACTCAGGCGCATCGGAAGGTTCTATCCCTGCGACAAATACCTTGGACTCAAGCCCGTCGCCAAACGGAGAAGCTGCGGACCGGTCCACGATAACGGTCAAGCTCGGTGCTCAGATCTACGCGATACCTTTTTATGCACGGTTCGTCTCTCCTCAGTTCCCTACACAGTGAAGCTTCACTTTGCTCACATCAATATGCTATTGTCCGCCCTTCACAGATACGGTTACGTCGCCGAGGTCCGTGAACTTGCACCAAGCCTCGTGACGTTTGCACAAACCTTAGCTCTACGCCCTTCCCACGACCCGTTCCATCTCGTCCTCCCAATCTTTCCAATCTCGCGCTTCTTCCATCGCGCGCCTCGATCCAGAAAGCGCCTTCCATCTCGAATTGCGCGCTTCCTTTGCTTCGTTCGAATCGCGCCTCGCGCTCACACGTCAAGATCACGTAGCCTCGCGCTCTGCCGCATGCTCACCGCTGTTCACACGTTGTGCTCACGGTGCCGGGCTGCCGGGCCACACTTGCTGAACAATGCGTTCAGTGCAAATATACAGTATCTGTACTTGTGGACGGTGCTCGATGCTCGAAGAGCCTATTCTTGTCACATACGCATTTGGCAGCTACGGGAGCACCAGCGTGAACGAGCAAACGAGCGAATGCACGATGCTTCAGTTTTGTCCCGTTTACCCCTCTCCTTCACTCCTTGTCCCTCGATCCTCCTTTACGTCCTGCTATCCACATCCCCGCTCTTCCCATCTGGTATCCATCTGGTTCTCTTTCTTGCGATCGGCCGATAAAAATCAGCGTTCTGACGATCTGTTCTTGCGCAGGGAGACACCTATCTCGACGAGGGCGCGCCGCACCAACATATGACTGTCACACTACCCATTCCACCCACGTAGGCTTGGCAAGTTTGGTCTCGACCCCCGACTACCTTCCCCCAGCGACGTAACGAGCCCTCCATTTCACGTCATGACGGGCGGCGCAGAGAAGAGTATCCGTATGTTAAGCGGCGTCGTTAGGGGCAAACCCACGCAGGCTTGGACATTGTAGAGCGCGCGGTGCCACAGTAGTTCTGGTGTATAGAGATAGAAGCCCCACTCCGACTTCTTACAATTGCGCCGCCGGCGCTCTTTCTCAATGAATGACCATTCAATTGGCGTACGGAGTTATCTGCAGCCACGGATCTCGGGCGTATGCCGTCCTCGACATCGAAGCCAGAAGTATCAATACCCCTGCTCGATGCAGCGATAGACGTGCAGAAGCTGGTCTTAACCTTTGTAAGACTCCAATCCAGATACGTAGGCCAGAAGCCCGTCAATGCGCTATCCAAAAGTGTCCGTTCTATTCTGCGAGTAGGGGTGAGAGCCACGGACTACGAAGTCTGTAATCCAAGGATGGAAGCGGAAGCGCGAGGGAGGATAATGAGCGCACAGGGGCGCTTACGGTAGGCACGGAGGTACGGTACTGCTAAGTGACCGACTGTCAATCGATGTCGGAAGTGGTAGGCGCGGCAGGGGGTGAGCAGGCAGGGATAAAGCTAAAGATACATGGCACAGTGCAGTGATGCAAGCGGAAGAGGATGGAGATCATCGCGATGGATGCTGAGTCAAATCAGACAGGTATCGTACTGGATACAGATAGGTATCGTTAAGGTCCTTGGCTGTATCGGATCGGAAGCGCGATAACATGGAGAGCATAGGAGACAACGAAAACGAAAATGATAGGAAGGTCGTAAAGTGCCCGAAGGCGTCGTGGCGTAGGAAGCGGCGGAACGAGACAGAACAGGCTGGTATACTACTCATTCCAAAACAAGTCTGCTGCGAATCTCAAAGCGGAGAGGGTTCAGGGAATATGTCCGGTCGGTCGACCGTAGAAGTCGCGTTCTTTGTGCGCCGCTGCCGCAGGCCAGCAGATGAGGAACGCGGTCCGGGATACGTTGCTGCGAGAAAGCGTTAGGCTAGGGCCTCTACTCGCTGGTAGGGCCTCGGAGAGGGCTCGTCGACAAGGGGAGTAACATCGAGTGCACAAAACCGCCGCCTTGGTGAACGCTGAAACTGACGCCGGAGCTATTTCCAGTTGTCTGCTCGTCGTAGATCTTCTTCGCAGCCTCATACTCGAGACGGTCCTGCTCAGCCTGGGCAAGGAATGGCCGTTTCTGATCATCGCTCATCTCGCGCCAGCGCTGAGCGGCGAGCACGCTCTGACGAGTGGTCTCCTGCTCGTCACCGAAGACGTCCATGGCACGAGCGGCGTCAGCACGAATCCAGGCGATAAAGTTGAAGTATGCAGAGAGGGGCTTGCGGGGTGCGTTGGGGTCCTTGATGTTGCTGCGCCGGCTCTTGCCTGCGCGGCGCTGTGAGGCACGGAAGACGTTCTCGCGCCGGATGTCGTCGGGCGAGAGGGAGGAGAGCCAGGCCGCGTGCTCTTGCTCACGTTGAGCCTTCAATTGTTGACTGCGGCGCACGTAAGGCTGTGAAGCCAGCGTCAGCTATGCCGTCGGGTGCTCGAAACACGAGATATCATTAGTCGCACCTCTTTCTCCTCGTCAGTCAGCAGAGCGTACTCAGCGCCGGCCTCCTTGGCCGCTTGGGCGACATTGAGTTTGCGGTCGGACGTAGCCTGCTGGCGTTGGATCCAATCTGGGAACACAGCATGTCAGCGCCTCGTCCATACCTACATTCACGTAGTCAGATAGACTCACCAGCGAACCACAGCTGCCAGGTCGAGGGTGCGAGCTTGGGAGGCCGAAGGTGGGACCGTGTAGGACCTGATACGCATGTCAATGCCCAGTGAATGGAAGCGGTGAACAAAGAGGTGATGTACCATTGTTGCCCAGCGTATGTGAGCCGGAGGGTGGGCTCGTCGATCCCGAAGCCGGAGTGTCGGAGGCATCCGAAGTCCTACGCTTGCGCCGCACGGGACCGACGGTCGAGTCATCCGCACTCGCGGACTCGCGCTCGGCACGACGAGTGTAGGATCGCGTTGAGGCGCGGATGGTACCGCTGCGGCTACCTGTGCTCATTCCCGCAAACTCGCTTGGCGCGGAGGCGCTCGTGAAGATCGTGCCGACGGAAGGCGGGGATGCTCGGTGGTGGCGAGCGCGGACCGTTTGCTGATCATCCAGGGTCACGGGAGGAGGCGGTGGGTACAACAGCATGGGCTGAGGTTCTTGCGGCTGCGGCTGGTGCCACACTGACCCGAACGACGACGGCGAGATGTCACTTAGGCCAAACGAGTATTCGTATGAAGGCTCGAAGGACTGCTCCGACAGCGACAACGTGTTGTACGAGGGCGAGTAGGCGCCCAGCTTCGGATACGGTTCGGAGGTAGGGATTGAGACCGGTGCGGAGGTAGAAGCGTAGTCACCGTCGACGACCCACGACGAGAAGTCAATAGCATCGTTTGACGGAGGGAAGGAGTGACCTTCGAAGGAGTTGGGCGGAGACGAGAAATCGAGCTGAGACGACGTCGAGGCCGGGGAAGCAGTTACTGGAGGCGAAGGCGGCGGATACATCGAGTCCCACATTGCGTAGGACGGCTTGGAAGGCGCATCCAGGTCGAGGTCGAAGAGATCGGGTTGCGATGCCGAGAACATGTTGGGCTCGGGTTGGTGATGAGCGAACTGCAGGCGAGACATGTTATGTAGCGTCTGGGAGGGATGCGGGCGAACAATGCAATATCGGATCGACTCGTTTTATGTGACAGCGCCACGTGCGCGAGACGGCCCGATAGATCTGGCTGTGAACCCGGAGATGGGCACGGCCAGAAACGGCTGCGAGCTGGTATCGACATAATGATTGGAAGGCTGACTCTGTGGGAGTACAGGAATGGTCGTGACGCGTCACAGATGGGGCAATTCCGATAACACGAGGTAGCGTAGACCCGGAGGTCCCTGCAAAAAGGCACCGGTACACCCGCTAGGTCTTCGGTCCGACAACGAGTTGTATTGGACGACGGGTGCAGGTCGTGGAGAGAAGAATGATGTGGTGGTGGTCGCTGGTCAAACACGTGAGGCGGCGGGTGCGTCGAGCGCGCCTGCGCGCTCGGACGCGAACCATCTTCTCGACCTCCATCCAACCAGTGAGCTAGATGAATTGCCACTGCCAATACTGACTAACTCGGCTTGCTAATGTGCAGTGTCCACGCCATACAGACAGTACGTTTCCCAGAGCTTTAGACACTTGCGTGCACTGACTGCATTCGCAGAGACATGCCGCCTCCGGGCGGCTTCGGCCAGGTCCAGTACAAGCGCAACCTGTCTTTGCGCGGACCATCTGGAATTGTCATACTGGGAGGCATGCTAGCTTTGACTATCTACGGCTTCCACCGAGTAGCACTCGGTCGTGCTGAGAGACAGTGAGTATTCCCCGAGGCCATCTACTCTTCGCCGCCCCTTCTTGCTCCTGTCCCAAACCTGTCGGGTCATGTTGCCCTCCGACTTCGAAGACGTCGCCGAGATAAGCGGGCTGAGCTACAAAGCCCCTAAACATCCTGGCCGCGTGCGCCACCCGTACGGGAGCGTCCTCCGTGATTGGCCGAACTGTGAGGAAGTGCTGACTCGAGTGTATCTGCCCGTCCTTGTAGGGAACTCGAGCGCGAAAAGGCATGGTCGCGGATTCACCTCGTTCCGCTGTTGCTCGCCGAAGGAGATCGAGATGCGTTCCGGAGGACACAAGCAGCTTTGGCGCGCGAGAAATTGATCATGAAGGACGTTGAGGGCTGGGAGGTACGGATATCCCCCCAACAACTCTTCGCAGATGCAAACAGACAGCTGATGACGCTTCTTTCGGCCAGGCCGGGAAGAGCGTGTACAACAATCCGAAGCACCGTAATGGCGAGTGGATTGTGCCCCTGTGAGGCGCAGGCGTTCGTGCCGAAAACGCCGGAAGTTGAGTGGGGAGAGCGGCAGAGGATGTCAGAGCCGGCGGTTGCGGGGTTGCCAATGTCTGGTCGTCAATGTCTTACTTAGAGAGCAACGGCTGGAGTGGTCGATTACTCCTGTCCATCAAACTCGTCCTAATTAGGTAGTCGAACCTCTGTGCCTCGAGGCTGCTAGCACGTTGCTCTCAACCGTCATGTCCTCCGCTCAACCATCACCCGGACCGTCTGCGTCATCGTTGCCACCCACCGCGCCTTCGCGCGGACGCACATCGGGGCTCGGCCTCATGACAGGAGCGGCAGAAGAAAAATACCGGCTCAAAGTGCGAGAGCTTAAGGCCAAGATCAGGGCCGTCGAGCAGGACAATGACAAGATGTACACCAAAACGCTCGAGGCTAAGCGCAACATCCAGCGCCTTCGTATAGAACGTGCTATCATCTACGAACGTCTCCACGCCGGGCCGCCGCAGCCACCACCGTCGCCACCCCAACCTGCGTATCGAGATGTCGTACTGGCACCTACCGATGTCGAGGGCGCTGACTATTATCGCAAAAACGACATCCCCGTTCGCCCCGAGATCGATCCTCGCACAGGCCAGTACATACAAGTCGCCCGCGCGCCTACACTTGCGCCGACTTCGTCGGGTCGAAGCAGTCGCCACCCGCAGGCGTCTCCGCTCGATACTTTGCCTCCCAGCAACGCCCCAACTCACTATCCCCTTCCTCCACCGGCGCATGCACAGGCTCAGTATGCCCCTCAGCCCTCGCACCACTACCCTCAGTCATCTCCCAGTCGTGCATACAGTCCTCCTCGACAACAATCCATGCACCGTCACCAGCGACTGGGTCCAGGTGCCATAATCGCGCAGGATGCGGAGCGCGATCAACAGCGGGTTCATGAATGGGAAGCGGAGCAAGCGCGCCGCCATCAGCATGGCCAACCGCCGTATCCTTACGATGCTCGCTATGACAGAGCTCCAGACCGACGCTACGAGTATGCGCCACAAACTGGACACCCAGCACCTCCTCCGGTGCCTGTAGATGACAGACACTATCGGGATGAGCGCGAACGTGAATACTCGCATGGGCATGTTCATCCGCACGCCCATTCTCACTCTCAGGGCCCCGGTCACCACCAACACTCCCACTCCCACCACTCTCAGAATGAACTGTCGCGCGCCAGGAGCGGGTCGAGTACAAGCCACGCGCCACATCACGAGCGAGAACGGGAGCGAGAGCGCGAGCGCGATGTCGAGATGGACGACCGCACAAGCGCGTAAAGGCGAAACATGGTTTCTCGTAGATGAAGGCCTATCCTTCACGGACATTCTCTTGGTATCTGCTGTGAATCATATTTGCTGAATGTTGTTCTTACGCTGCTGCATTGTCTATAACGCTTTTTCGCTTGTCCCAGTGCCACTAAGACGCGCAGTCTGACGCTGTCCAGGCGCCATATGCGCCTCGGCTCCGGACCCCGTGGACCTCTGTCCGCAGGGTGAAGCTCTATCAAGCATATGCGAACTGCTTGTCACAGGCAATATTCTCATAATTTCATCTGACGCTAGATAACTCAATGGCGCGGAAGAGCCGGCCCCAAACTCGTTGCTCAAGGCGCCCGACCCGACCCACCCTTGCCTACGTCGAAACCGATTCAAGTTCTCGATCTCGGTGAAAAGTGGGTTTAGTGGTACAGTCTTGCTATGGGCGCGCTCTGCGCTTTCTCGGAACATGCAAAACCATCGGCAGGAATATCACATTTGTCCTGCCTCATCTGCTATCCGGATGTGCTAATAGCAGGGACAGCAAATGCCACAGGGTGGCTGGTACAATGACTAGTCAACAATAGTCATCGGCGATTGGATGGGCCAAGCAACATGGGATCAGTGGGTTGATCGTCCATATCTCTCACGCGTCGGAGTCCCTGCGCAGAGTACAGCAATCGTCGTTGAGGATCTAGTGTCGGTTGAGCGCTTTGGACAAGTCGGAGTGTATACCTCCAGATGTGATTCACTGATTGTGACCGAGGACCGCGGAAGCTCGTGTTTCAACGAAGACCCTCATACACGACTCACGATCGACGGACGTGGCCCGCTAACGTGGGTGGTGTGGCCTGGCTTCCACTTGGCCGTCCTGGCCGGCGTCATCACCTCAGTCTAACGCCACCTACCCACTATCCTGTCGAAATCCCCAACATTGCAGTACCGAGTCTTTAGCCTAGTAAGTAAACAGCCATCAGCAAGCTCTGCCGCAATGCGCTAGCATGGGCCCCAGCCACGGTCATATTACCCAAACCCTACAATCAAGATTCGCCTTCGATGTGAGCCTCGAGGTCCTCCCGAATTCCGCATCCGAAGTGCGGCGATGGATGCGGAGATCCTTCCTAAGAGACGCGCGCTCGGATATACTGGAGATGAGCGTCAGCTAGCCAACCCGCTCGCAAGAGCCGTAGCGATCGCAGACGCTCAGGGGCACGTACTCGAACGAGAATAACACTTCGGCACGCAGTCGCCGGTCGGTCAACCAGATAGGCAAGCGTAAGGCGAAGTGTACCTTGCTCCTTTGACCTTAGTCGGTAGACTCGGAACGTCACTCCGGCCGGCCTTAAGCGCTCGATTGACCTCGCGAGCGGCACGCTATCTGGGCATGGCTGCGGGAGCAGTACAGGACCCCGGAAGCAGCAGGGGGCGTCGGCGTCGACTGCTCCCGCGGGCCACTCCCGATGCGCTTTCACATCGGTCGGATGTGTGTCAGTACAGGCTGACGTGGCTGGTATGCCGGAGTGTAGAACTTGATAGACTCAGTCAATGCAATGTCATCAGCCACACATGACTGATACGAGGCTATTGTGCGCAGCCGAGATCTATGGATTTGTGAGTTGGTATGAGTGACCGGGTCCGACGCACCAAGAAGCGAGTATCCCTATTTTTGAGATCTATAATGTTACCACGACATTTGATCCAAGAGACTGGACGCATCAAGATGAAGACCCGAATTGAAGTCTCCACGAGTAGTTTCCAGCCCGTCACAGCCAAGACGTTGACGACGCTTCCAGTCGGTTTAAGCAGTGACTGACTGACAACCTACAGACATCGCACGATGCTCCCTCTGAGTACAAGATACGCGTAGTAGATCAAGCGGCCTTAAGATGTGGAGGCGCAGCGATGCCCCTGCCAACAGAGAGCCGTCGTGGGTACTAGCCCGGGGAGGCCCGCAAATGTGGTCACAGAAATGCATTGCTTGCCCTACAGGCATTGCCATGTAGGTTTCATATGGACGCGATGATGCTCGACGGCGTAGTGGCACTACACCCAGTGTCGGCTGGTATGACTCGCGCGAGACAAGGGGTGGTGCGATGGGCTGACGTGTACGCACAAGAACGCCGCGAACAAGAACGGGGAACAATAGGGTTCCAATACGAAGAACACAATGGTGGTGCTCTGATACGCAGACAGATGTGATACACGCGGCTCGCAACCCTCGCTCTTTCGGTTAGGCCGACGATGTGGGAATCGCACCGTTGGCCACGGGGGATGGAGATGCAGACACGGCATTCCGCGAATGACTCTGCGTTGGGTTTGAGTGCTTATGGACCGGTCCAGTGCATAGCAATGCGGACGCAAGTCGTAATGGCGAGGGAAGACCAACACAAGATGGGACAGGTGTCAGAAGCCGGTCAGAAAGTGAACAGCATCTATGGAAAACCAGCAATCAAGAAGCAACAATAGGATGTCGAGAAGTTGACAATGGCTCAATGAATTCCTTCCCCACGTATCGCCCCAAGAGAATATTCGTACACGCCAAGAAAGACGGCGCCTCCCGCCGAAATCCATAGCGTACGCGGTACGACGCCCGCGAAGAGCGCGTGCATACCCTCATTCGCGTATATGCTTCTTGCTCGCGACAATACGGACGGATTCGATGTCGTCTTCGGGTCCTGTATATGTGGGTACGAGTCAGCATTACCAGATTTGAATTGTGGGCCTGTGAGCCACGAGAGTTCGAAACGGCCGACGCACCCGGATGTCAAGCATTATACGTGTCTTCAACACGTCCAGAGGGGTTGTCGCCGCAGCGGCGATTCCGCCAGCTACACTCCCGCACGCGGCCGCCTCGTACGCATGCAGTGCACCGGGTCGGTCATAAAGCATCATTGATAGGCGTCGTTTGAACCACTCGTACATCGGGAATTGGAGCGATGTAAAGGGAATCTGAACGACAGGAGAATCAGCATGTGCAGAGTGTAATAGGGTTCGAGACGGACGCTCACCTCGCGCATGACGGTGACTCCGAAGCCTCGATAGAAGCCACGAAGGCCTTCACTGGCGAGGAGGATGCGGGCGGCGCCGAAGGATGAGATTGCCCCATAGGAGCTGGTTTGAGAGCGAGTCTTCACAACCTCTGTTGGAACGCGGATGAGGCATGCAGCCTGGGGCACAGATGCGGTCAGCGCCACATGCACCGTAATGGATGCGCACGCGAAGGACTCACGACTTCACCTGCGGAAGCAGCAAGCATGTGTTTTGCGGCATCCAGATGCTCGGGTATAGGTAGATGTCGCTTGAGAGTGTCGTATGTGGCGAAGAATACAGCAGCTGCGCATATAGGTTCCTTGAGTTGACAGCACCGCTCGCTGATCATCGTACAACTCACCTCCGGGTGCGCTCCCGACGACCACACTGCCAATCCCTCGATAGACACCACGGAAGCCTCCAGCTGCGATGAAGCCCTGTGATGATTGCAGTCGCGTTTTCAGGGAGTCGATTGGGTAGAAAAGGAGGTCTACGGACGTCCCCGCGAGTCCGCCTGCCTGGGAGGGTTCATGCGCGCGCTCTCGGTTATGATAGGGTGCTTACGAGGAGGGACTGCGCGAAGGATGGGTTATTATTGGGATTCGACGACATCACAGGACCTTTCAACGCGCTCCCGACCGATGTTGGCGACGCGTTTGAAACCCGCGACGCGTCGGGTACTCGCGAACTGACGCGCTCGGTAAGCGTTACGGGTCACACCAGTCACCCTGGTTCTCAGATTCACATCCGGACTACAGTCTGCGGCTACGATACTCTCGCTCCATCAGATCTTATTGCGTTCACGCATCCCTCTGACGTTGCCAGACGCAGCGAGGCGCGAGGCGAGAGAAACCCGTCAGCGACCTCCAAATACGGTCACGTGTGATACAATGTCTGCGCGTCTGGGTGAACAACTTGCGAGGCGACGGCAAGGCGGGTAAGCGTCGCGTCCTTGATAGCGAGCTCCGAGAAGAGCTGTCGTAGCCGTTGCATAGCATTTGCAGTTCTTACTACTGGGATTGACGTATTATGTACACTCGGCCTTCTGTTGACGCCGATCATGGACCTGTTCTTATCCTTCTGACTCGACAAGGTCTGGCGGACTTATGCCCACACCCAACCCAAAAACCTACAATGCATTTCTCATAAAAGTCTCCTCATACCGCAGCGTTACGGGTGTCACTTGAATGTTCATACGTATTGAGAACTTGTAGCCAGGAGCACGGTGAATCGCCGAGCCATGTGAGCTTCTCGAACGTCCGTAGCGTTATGAACGTGAACGTACTCCTGAGTACGCGGGAACCGTACGGAGCAGAAGACGCGCGGGGCGGCGGGGACGGCGAGATAGGGGGTACGATAGTGGCTATCGAGTGGATTGCATCCTGTCGAATGACCAGCGCCGCCAGACGCGAAACGGTGAAAGCGCACCACCGTGTTGACAGCAAGCTCGGTCCATTCGGAACGCGCCTTTTCGATGAGCCTCTCGGGCTTCGGGCCCCCTTCGCTGCGAATCGACAGTGAGAGCAAAGTGGCTGCGCACGGAGGCGCTGCATATTCGTTCACTTCACACAGGGGCGAAAGTATCCTGGCCTTCGCGCACAGCCCTAGGCGAAAGCGAGCAAGACGACAACTCCCGCGGTCCCGCAAGAAGCGCGACTGTGCACGGCGCCGCCCAACGGCCCCCGACGCGCATTTTTCATCGCACGTCCATCCGATGTCCATCGTCTGCGCCCGCTTGCCCGGTGGGCGGGCTCCAAGATAGGGGCTAGCGTGCCCGCCTTCCGTTGGCCTCACGCACGGACCACACCTGCCCGACACGGTGTAGATTGCGTGCACTGCGCTTCGCGCCATCGTGATGCCAGGCCACGATAGCGCGCCAGCAGCTGACCACACGCTGACGCGCCGCACCGGCGGCTTCGGCGAATGTGGCCGGCGGCATGCTCGCAGTTGGCGAAGCTAGAAGACCTTTGCGAGCCTCGTGCTGCCTCGCAGCTCGCGGTCGACGGCAGGGACATGGTCATCTTGCGTGCCCCATGCGCTCTCGCCCATCGTATGCGGGACACATCGGGAAGCACAACCGATTCCGCTGAGAGACCGACGCCGAGCCGCGTAGGCCTGACGCCCTCTCACGCGGCCTACCGGCGAGGCTATCAGGAGCAGTTATGGAGCGTCGATAGCACGCGGTTCGCGAGCCATACAGAATCTCTCTGTCACAGAATCGAAGCTCAGCCAAGAAACACAGGCCTCGGCGGGTACGGGCCGGGTCGGGCGACATAGGCTTCTGCAGGGCGCTTCTTCTCGGGCCACAAGCATAAAGCTGTTTATCGTACATCTTGGTCGACGCCTATCGGGATCGAGCGTCGGTGATCGACTAGTCGGGATTCGGTGCACTGTAAAGGATGTGTGTCGATGATGGTGGCGTAGAGCGCCCAGCTTGGTCGAAGAGGCGCAGAGCGGAGAGGTTCTCAGGGACCGCATTGCTCGCTATCTGTTGGAGATCCGGTGAAGTTGGCGGCCACTTTACGCACCTTGTGAGCACGAGGGGATGTAGTTGCACGTTCCGAAACCAGATGAATGAAGACCAGTCCATCGCACGTGTGAGAGCAAAACGACCATGCTATTAATCCTCTCGGGGTCGCAATAACGTTAACGACACGGGCGAAGGTCGCGTAAAGAAGTGTATGTAGTAGTCGAGGCTCAAAGCGTTACCGGTAGACGTGGTCAGCTGTTCAAGGGTCCGAACCAGATTAGCAAGGTTCAAACTGGACGGAATCGAAGTACGTACCATACAAGTTGGCCGCAATTTCAGTCTCTGCCCTGTCACCGTTTGCCAAGAGCTTCTCCTTGTTGTATAGCAACTCCTCCCTCGTCTCCGTGGAAAACTCCTGGTTCTGAGCTGTTCGGTGCCGGTGAGTAAGCGCGTCTGGTTCGAACACGTGTGTACGTACTCTCCACAATGGCGTCGACTGGGCATGCTTCCTGGCAGTAACCGCAGTAGATGCACTTGGTCATGTCGATATCTGGGACAGTCAATATCCACGCCTCATGACATGTTAAGGTATACGCACCATATTTTGTTGTACGCCTCGAGCCGTCCAACCGCGCCTCGCTCTCGATGGTGATGGCTTGCGCCGGGCAGATTGCCTCGCACAACTTGCAAGCTATACGTGACGAGTAAGCATACGTCCATTATTGCTTTGGCTATGAGCGACGGACCGATGCAGCGCTCCTCGCCGCTGGGATATCTCCGGAGGGCGTGCTCGCCACGGAAGCGTGGTGAGAGCGGGCCCTTCTCGAAGGGATACATGATGGTGTACGGTGCGCGGAAGAACTGCTCAAAGACGAGCCACATGCCTGGGCGGAATGTCAATGAGGATATTCACGAATCGCGCCCGGGGTGTACGGACCCTTCATGATTTCTGTCAAGAAGTAGAGGTGGACGGCCTTGTCGAGGGCGCCATAGCCCTCTTTGTAGATGTCGACGTCCTTGTCTGGCTCCTGGGCGGCGTCGAACGCGCCCTTGCCGAGCCCTGCCGACTTCAAGTTGCCGCTGCTCTCGGGCACCACCTGCGCGAGCGGGTTCTCCACTGCCAGCCGCCGTGGGGACGAGGAGAGCAGGCGGCGGGCGACGACTGGGGCGGCTGATGGCGCTCGCCTGGAGACGGCGAGGCGGGTGGCCAGACCGAGGGAGGTGCGGGCGAAGGACATGGTTGTTCGGTCAGGACGACGTCTCTTCCAACGACCTCCGCCCCGGGCCACCCGATCCTTCACTCCGACCAATCACATTATTTGCCTTCATAATCCCTCTCTTTCTCCCCCGCTCTCGTACTCTGGCCGCCCTGCACCCCGGAGCCTGGAAACACATGCATACCCCGTCTCGTATGAAGCTGCATTCGCATCCAAGAACCCAATAACACGTATACCTGCTCATGTTCAGACTGGAAAGAGCGTGGGCAAGTCGAATAAACGCGATCAGTGTGACGCGAACACGCGCGACGCGACTTGACAAGGACGCTCGTCTCCCATTCAGCGGCCGACAGAAGGACGCTCACCGTCGACCACCGGTCATCCCGTTACGGACGGTCCCCGAACCGGTAAGCAATGTGCAAGTCTATTGCAAGACTTTCCTCACGCGTCTTTCGTAGCCGAATATGTCTGCGCTGGGCTATCACCAACTGATCCTTCCTCCCAGCGGAGTGGAATATGCAACAGTGCTCAAGCTCACGCCATCGACCGTCACACCAAGCAACCCCTCCACCTCTGCTTCGGGCCGCGCTCTGTATAACATTGCACTGGCGCGTTCGAATTATCTTCGCATATATGAAGTCAGAGAGGAGCCGGTACACGTCGATGAAGAAAAGGAACGGGAGCGGGAGAAGAAGGAAATCCGGAAGGGAACTGAGCCCGTTGAAGGGGAGGTAGCGATGGACGAGGGTGGCGAAGGATTCGTGAACATTGGAGCCGCCAAGGTGATTCTACTTCAACCATGTCTATTGTTGTACACTTGCAATATAATTTGCCCTCCTCAATGTGCCTGCCGTCTGAAATTCGCTCAAAGTCCAAGCTCTACGAGTCTGTGTCTCGAAATGGTATTTGCTGACTGCTATACTCGCTACAGTCGTCCTCGGCTGCTGGCCCACCGACATCGACCAAGTTCCACTTCCTGCGAGAACATATCCTACACGGTACTATCACTGGTATGCAACGCGTGCGAGTCATGTCCTCCGCAGAGGACCAGCTGGACCGCCTACTCGTCTCGTTCAAGGATGCTAAAGTAGGTCATGCATTACTTCTCCGGTCCGACAAACTACTGACGACCACCTAGATTGCCTTGCTTGAATGGTCGCAAGCTGCCTTTGACCTCATCACGGTTTCAATCCACACCTATGAGCGTACATTACAAGTGGTATGCTGCCAACGGGCTTCTTTGCACTTGTCAGCTCACACCACCTAGATGGCACATGACTATCCTTTTCAGTCATTACTTCGTACAGACCCGGAGTCTCGATGCGCGGCGATCCTCTTGCCTCGGAACACGCTTGCTGTTCTACCCTTCTACCAGTCGCAGGCCGATATAGACGTCGTGGTAGAAGGACCTGATAATCAAAGGCGCGTCCTCCTGTTTATCTAATCTCACCCTACTGAGATTGACCTCCAAATCTATAGCGACGTACCGTATTCGCCCAGTTTTCTGCTCAATCTTCACGGCGAGGTTGACAGCCGTATCGAGAATGTCATCGATTTCGTCTTCTTGCCAGGCTTTAATCAGCCGACGGTCGCAGTCTTGTTTGAACCACAACGGACGTGGACAGGGTAAGCTCTACTATACTCCCTGAGAAACCCGAATCTCATCTATGTAAACCCAGTCGTCTGCACGAGCACAAGGACACCATGAAGGTTTTCTTCTTCGTTCTGGATTCCATGAAACGCAACTATCCCGTCATCACTGTCGTTGAAAGCCTTCCCTCGGACGCCCTTAGCCTGTCTCCTTGTCCCGCCGCTCTCGGAGGTGTCGTCGTGCACGCTGCGAATTCACTCATTCACATTGACCAGGCACAGCGCAAGATAGGTCTGCCGGTAAATGGGTGGGCATCGCGCATCACGGACATGCCAATGTTGCCGCCAGCGTACCCGGATCGCACGTTGACTCTTGAAGGCGCTTCTCCTGTCTTCGCCAACGATCGTACGCTCTTTGTCATCCATCAAGACGGGACGATATACCCGGTTGAGTTCACTGTCGAGGGCCAGGTCGTATCGAAGCTTTCTATGGGCGAACCTGTGGCGCGAACTACTATGCCCAGCATCGCATGCCGTCTTGATGACAACCATATCTTTGTTGGAAGTGACGTGGGGCCATCTGTCTTGATGCGGGTCGCGAGTGTCGAGGAAGTTGTCAAGGAAGAAACGGAGGGAGGTGGTGATGTCAAGATGGACATGGACGTGGTTGTGGACAAACCCGTGGAGGCCATGACCGTTGACGACGATGGTAAAGTTCATTCCCAAATTTCTCCTTCGCGATTGATTCCAATCTTGTATGTAGACATCTACGGCCCATCCGGTGCATTACCTGCACAGACCTCAGCTACAGCTGTGGTCGCAGCTCCAGGAGTGAAGACAAAGACAGTCATACACACTTCTATGTGCGATGCGCTGCCAGGACGTGGTCCCATGTCTGATGCAACCTTCTCCGTCACGAAGAATGGCGAGAAGGCAGTGCCCGAACTCATCGCCTCCACCGGTTCTGGCGAGCTTGGCGGCTTCACGCTCTTCCAGCGTGATCTTCCTTCAAGAACGAAGCGCAAGCTCCACCCGGTCGGCGGCGCAAGAGGAGTATGGGCACTCCCCGTTCGTCAAGCTGTCAGGGTGAATGGCTCCAACATCGACAAGCCTGTCAACCCCCTTCACGCGCAGAACGACACCGTCCTGATCAGTACTGATCACAACCCTTCGCCCGGCTTGTCAAGGGTATGTACAGATGAACTTGCACACTGGGTGCGCTTCTGATCTGGCTTTTAGATATCGGTTCGAACAGGTGCAGAAGGCGTTACTGTTAAGATACGGATACCCGGCATGACCATCGGAGCGGCACCCTTCTTCAATGGGACGACCATATTGCACGTCATGACTAACTCGATCCGCCTTCTGGAGCCTGGTTGGTGTTCGCGTATTTCTCGTATCACTCTGAAGCTCACCGATAGTTTAGATGGCACGCAGCGACAGATTATCGAGGACTTGGACAAGAATGTTCCCCGGGCGAAGATCAAGTACTGCAGCATCCAGGATCCTTTTGTTCTCATTCTACGGGAGGATGAGACTATCGGCTTATTCATCGGTGAGCTCGAGCGCGGCAAGATTAGGCGCAAGGACATGTCGCCCATGGGTGACAAGGTTCGGTTGAACACCTATTATCCAGCGTACCCGACTTTGAATCGACCATACAGACTTCACGATACGTTGCCGGAAGCTTCTTCGAAGATAACACCGGACTTTTCGCCACTCGTGCGACTACCAAAAGTCCGGATGGGTCCAGTAGCACGACCACGATGCAAGGGGCCATGGCTGCTTCAGATAAAACGCAGTGGCTCATGCTCTGTCGGCCATTAGGGGTTATGGAGGTTTGTACCGCTTAATCGAGACATCTAGGATTGCTTACTCAAGGTCATTCAGATCTGGTCGCTACCAAAGTTGTCTCTCGTCTTCTCTTCCACCGCAATTGCGTCATTGCAGCCTGCACTCGTCGACTCTTATGATCCTCCAGCCTTGTCTGTGCCTCAAGACACGCAGAAGCGCGCCCCAGGAGACTTTGACATCGAGCAGGTACTGATTGCTCCTATGGGCGAGACTAGGACCTCACTACACTTGCTCGTGGGTGCTCAACAACACTCTTGAGTCTTTTCAGCTCAATCCTCCACAGGTCTTCTTGCGCTCAGGCGATCTGGCTATCTACCAAGCTTTGCCTGCGCTTGATCTTGACCTTCCAGCAGAGCCACCGGAAGCGCGAACGACGTTCTTAGGCATTCGCTTTGTGAAGCTTCTCTCGCAAGCATATGACATTCAGCGACCAGCAGAGGAGGATCGCTCTATTCTCGCCGAACAGCGTCGTATTGTCCGGCAGTTCATCCCTTTCACGACTAGCCCCGCGCCCGGCATCACACTCACAGGCGTTTTCTTCACCGGAGACCGCCCGAGTTGGATCGTCCGGACAGACCGGTCCGGATTACGTATACACCCCTCAGGACACGCGGTGGTGAACTCGCTCACGACCTGCTCGCTGTGGGGTAACAAGGGCGACTTCCTGGCGTACTCTGACGAAGGACCGACTGTGTTAGAGTGGATCCCCGGCATGGATCTCAACACCGAGCTGCCTTCGCGCTTCGTCCCCCGCGGAAAGTCTTACTCCCATGTTGTTTACGAGCCAACATCTGGTCTCGTCGTCGGTGCTGCCGCCCTTCGATCCGATTTCTCGACCTTCGATGAGGAGAATAACGAGGTTTGGACTCCGGATGGTGATCACTCTTTGTTCGCACGTCAGACCTTCGCTGACGCGACCTCTGCTTCAGCTCCAAACGTAGCATACCCGAAGACTGATGCTTCCGCCTTGGAGCTCCTCACTCCGGAAGGATGGGTCGCTTTGGATGGGTATGACTTCGCATACAACGAGTTTGTGAATGTCATGGAATGTGTCCCGCTTGAGACTCTCAGTACGGCTACTGGTCGCAAGAATTACATCGCCGTCGCCACCACTGTCAATCGTGGAGAGGATCTCGCAGCGAAGGGAGCGGTAAGTTCAGGTTCTATCGTACGAAGCTTTTTATCTCACACTATCCCTGCAGACGTATGTCTTTGAAGTGGTCGAGGTTAACCCAGATCCTGCTGCGGGTCGTGCCCGCTCGTGGAAGCTGCGCTTGCGGTGTCGGGATGATGCCAAGGGGCCTGTTACTGCGCTCTGCGGTATAGACAACTACCTGGTTTCGTCGATGGGGCAGAAGGTTGCTTGTGGCTGTTCTTGCTCATACGTGTACGCTCACCGGCACACTAGATCTTCATCCGTGCTCTTGACTTGGACGAACGGCTTGTGGGCGTTGCCTTCCTCGACGTTGGTGTTTATGTCACGTCATTGCGTGCGATGAAAAACCTACTTCTCATCGGGGACGCTGTGAAAAGTTTGTGGTTTGTTGCTTTCCAGGTAGGCCGGCCAGTTTCACGTTACATCGTACGATGCTGACTGTCTGTGCAGGAGGACCCATACAAGTTGACTGTGCTTGCGAGAGATAACCAAATTGTCTCTGTAACAAGCACCGACTTCTTCTTCACTGAGAATGCGCTCTCCCTCGTGACGTGCGATGAGGAGGGCATAGTGCGTCTATACGAATATAGCCCGCACGGTACGTTCCCGTATTTCATCTCCGCCCCGGTATCCCCGAACAAAGGCTCACGCACTTTGCAAACTTAGACCCAGAGGCGCGGAATGGGCTGCAGCTCCTTTGCCGGACTGAGTTCCACGCCCACACCGAGTACCGCTCTTCATTGACCATTGCAAAACGGAGCAAAGCGCCTCAGGCCTCTCCCGTCCCGCAGTCTAAACTCATCTGCGGTGCGTACCGCCCCACGTCTATCGCTTCTTTGTTCTCGGACTGACCGACCGTCGTGCCACAGCGCATCCTGATGGGGCTTTGACTGCGCTTGCGCCTGTAGACGAGGATGCCTTCAAACGGTTATTCCTTCTCCAAGGTCAGCTAGCGCGTAATGTGCAGCACACGGCGGGCTTGAATCCGCGCGCGTTTCGGACGGTGCAAAATCCAACGGTGGCGAAGCCGCTCGCGAGAGGCGTGCTTGATGGAACTCTGCTCGCTGCGTTCACCGAACTCTCACTGGCCAAGCAAGAGGAGATCACGAGACAAATTGGCACTGAACGAGCATTGATCGTACGGGATCTTGCAGCTCTAGCCGGGGCCTGGTGAAGAGATCTATCGATGTAATCAGATCGAGCTTGTGTTCCCCTAGGGTTTGTTCATTCGATGCTCTGCCAGTTCAGACATGAAACATATGAATCACCAGTTGGATCAGACGAAGACGGCAGAGTCTGGATATTGTACGGGTAGGTAATATGTAAAGTAGATGAGGCGGTATCTGAAAGGACAGTGAGGGGAAGGTGACCGCAGTCTGAACCGCACGGGCTGCTCGGGGAGAATTGGAGATCATAACGGCAAAGGCAACAAACGAAGTATACAACAGCATCTAAGCAATCAGTCCTCATCATCTTCATCGCTTGATTCTTCTCCACGGCGTCTGCGTCCTTTCCGTGAGCCGTGGCGACTCCGCTGCCGAGTATCACGTCAGCGTCACATACAAAGAAGGGCAGTAGACGATGAAGCGCACCAGAGGCAGCTTCTGGCCCTGGTTGCCAAACGCAATTGACAACGCGGTCGTATCTGCTCGGGGAGTGCGGTGAACGACGGAAACTGGCTGTGGCGACAGAGTTCGGGCTCACCGGGCACTCCGGGGAAGCGCTTTGCTGTATAAACGTCGAATGGCTGAGAGTACACCTCGGACAGAACAGCTGAGAAGCCAGTATTGATGCTGGGCATTTCGTCCTCGGGCGGCGGAATTGGAGGACCAAGATTCATGAGACGCAAACGCAGGCGAAAAGCGCCTTCGGTGCGGATGCTCAGATCCTGGAAGAGGAAGAAAACGCCTGGCTTGCGGTGCTCGTCGAGCAATCGGCTTGCGCTAGCAGCAACGGGTCCCACTAATGTGCGCGTGTACGCGTCGCCGGGCATGGCGCGCCGAGCCTTTCCCTTTCCACTCACACCCTGCGACGCAGGTGTCGTGAGTGGAAAGCCCTGGGCAATCGATGCCGAAGCGTACATGCTCTCGTCGTATGGCGGTCGATGTGTGCCGATCCCAGCTTCAGATGTAGGCTCAGAAGGCGTCGGTGGTGGCCCAGTGTTGCCGGTAGATGTAGGTGGGGACGGCGGCGGGGCCTCTTGTAATTCGATACGTGCTGGGAGCTGAGGCAACGTGGGGGGGCGGGGCGGGCTATAAGAAACGGATGGTGGCGGGCTATTGCGGCGAGAGGGCCCGGGCGCTGGGGCGAGCGGCGCAAGAGGCGCGTAAGATGGGTCGGCGCTCCAGGTGCGGTAAGGGCCAACTTCGGAATCGTCATGGGCCCACTCGTCATCCGAGGGCGGGTGGTCCAGAGACAGAGTGCGCGGCCGATGGAGAGAAACAGTATCCTGGGATGCAAGCGGGGGGGCCATAGCGTATGATGTCGACCATGCCGAAGCTTGTTGTTGGTCGTAGGGACTCTGAAGAGAAAGCGAGGGCAGTACCGGCAACGTCGGTATTGACAGAGGACCGAAGGTGCCGGGCGAAGGGGCTGGGGCTGGCTGGAGGGAGGGCTCATGCTTCTCCGGTGCCGTAGTCCTCCGCTTCTTGTTAGACGCTTGTGCGGCGGCGTGCCTCTCGCTAGACCCAGGGTGGATCACAAGATTTCGCTCGCTCTTCCCGTCCGGAGACCATAGATCGGCGGTGACGACGAGGAATGCGTAGTCAATATCCCTGCACGACGACGCCGAGTAAGCCGAACGCGGTTAGCGACGCTGAGCAAGAGCGCACGAACGTATCCTCCAACAGTTTATTATCCTCGTCGTGCACCACTAGTTTTGCCACTACGGCTGGCGCTATTGGTCTTCGATCCTAGATATTGCACCGTCAGAGATCGCATACGGCACAATGACGGTCGAACACTGACTTTATCCCCAAAGCCTGAGTACCGCAGTCAATCAATGAGCCACATCGCGAGCTTAAGCCGGACTTAACTCACCACACATTCGAGCGCGGATTGGCTTTAGCACGGTGGTCAGACAAATACCTCGCAAGGCGTGCAAGACGGCTCACACACCTGCTGGATGATCTCGATCTTCCAGTGCTTGCCGTCGCGCCAAGAGCCCCAGTCGGGTAAGCCATCCGGGTCGGTCTGGTCCGGAGCAGGCGGGGTGAAGGGCGCGAGGGCAGTCTTGCCGGCGCGGGGAGCGTTTACCTTCTGGATCATGGCAAAGGAGAATGAAGGAACGGGGGAACGAGTAGGTTGAGACTAAGTATCGTACATGCGGGTCGGGAACAAGTCGCACAACCCGTTTCGCGTGCGCCCACGGCTGGGCCCAATGTAGTGGTACATCAGACAATGGGCTTAAAATGCCTGATTTAAGGTCGATTTGAACTTTGGCGTCCCTTAGCTATGCGCCGGCCACTCGCCGCGGGTGGAATCTCGAGCGATGAGGCCTGAAACCATAAACTTCCGCGTTGGGAGATGGCAGGTCAAGAGGAGGAACGCGTCAAGGAGCGACGCGTCGAAGGCCGCTGTTCGCATCCAATGATCCAAATCATATGTCCGTGAGCCCTGCCCCTCGTTCCCAGTCCGGTGCGCCGTCACATCCGTCACTGAACGGACGTAGCCGGCTTCTTGGCAGGCGTTGTGGCGCGCTGGGGCTCGTACTCTTGACTGAATGATTACTATAAAACTACACGGCCGTGGCACTACGTAATGACGGAACACATTGGGACACGAAATAAAAATAAGAGGCTGTGGCGCTCTCGTTGTCAGGGAACATCCGTGACAGTCATGGTTATTATCGAGGTATAACAATGAAGCGCCCGAGCACGCCAAGTCCATGCGAGAAGTGAGAGAAGGGACGTGGCATCGCGGGGCCAGCGGGACGCCGCACACTCGACTCGGTGCGAGCAGCGGGTCCTGCATAACGGGCAGGTGCCAACGAGGAGAAGATCTGACGGAGGCATTCACAGATCGCCTAAAATAGTGGCCCAGTATATAGGTATTCAAGCGCAGGCCTGGGAAGATGCACACTGGTGTTCTCGAGGCACCGGCTGACATGGGATACGACATCGTTGTATTTCCACCGCTATGCGAATCTCGCAAGATCATCTGGCGAGAGGCCAGAGATTACTGTTATCGATCGACGACTATGGCTCGTGGCTTATATGTGTTTCACATGGCGGATGCGTGGACGTGATGGTAGCGGTCAAAGTCAGGACGCGCGCAACTCTCACCGGGTCGAGTGATTCCCAGACTTCCCTTCCCCGCCCACCAACCATCACACATCATGGACCAGACCGCCGCAAAACGGACATTACAAGAGCTTATCAAGCGCGAGGACTTGAATAATCGTAGATGCATAGATTGCGACAATCCCAATCCTCAATGGGCTTCTGTCAGGTCTGCTTGTACCCCTCGATCAACAGCGTCGAGTCTGATGTCGACGTCGGAGTAGCTTTGCCATTTTCATCTGCCTACAATGCGCAGGTCAACATCGCGGATACGGCGTGCATATTTCGTGCGTGTGGTCTTAAAATACGAGTCTAGGTTAAGCTCATCATTCACCAGATTCGTCCGCTCTGTTTCGATGGATACTTGGTCGGAAGACCAGATCCGCAGAATGAAGGTGCGCTTCGTGTAGCAGACTCTGATGCATCGCTGGCAATTCAATCAACCCATCAGCTGGGCGGAAACAAGCCATTTCGTGACTTTTTGCAGTCATATTCCCCAGCGGAGCAGGGCGGCTACACTCCCGACATGTCAACACACGACAAGTATCACTGCTGGGCAGCTACACAGTATCGCGAGAAGGTATGCGGCTTCTGAGCGGCCCAATAACGGACAGCTCTTTGACACACTACAGTTGGACAGTATGCTGCAAGACAAACCGTGGACTCCTTCGGCGCCGCCCGCTGACGCCGCCTCCCCACCCGGACGCCCATCCTCCGCTCAAGGCCTTCGGAAATCCCGCGCCGGTGCGCGCGGCATGTCTGGCTTACGCACTGACTCGGCCTCTCCCGCTTCCTCTGCGCCCAATTCGCCTCATCCTGAGGGCCTCACTCAAAAGTCGCAGAACGAGGCGTATTTCGAGCGGCTTGGCAATGCAAACGCCTCGCGGCCTGATCACCTCCCTCCATCACAGGGCGGGAAGTACACTGGCTTTGGAAGCACACCAGCCCCAGATATGCATCCAAGCTACGGTATGAGCAGTCGTGCAGCGCCAACTCTCAGTGAGCTCCAGGAGAACCCTATGGCGGCGCTTAGCAAGGGCTGGTCGCTCTTCAGCGGCGCAGTCGCCGGTGCGAGTAAGGTCATCCAAGAGAACGTCATCCAGCCCGGTATGGAGCGCGTGCAGGATCCAAATTTTCAGAACACCGTGCGCGGATATGTCGGTCAGGCGCAGAGCACGATCACGTCGGTCGGCACACAAGCCAACTCATGGAGTAGGCAGCAGTTTGGTGTTGATGTTGCGGGCCAGGCCCGTGGTATGCTCGGCGGTCATGAGCGTTCTGGGTACTCCAACGTCAGCCAGGGTGGCTACGGAGAGGAGACGACTGCTCTGTACCATGACGAAGAGGACGACTTCTTCCGAGAGTTTCAAGGAGCGAACCAGGGTCCTGCGTCCTCGAGCTCTGCGGCGCCGACGAGCAAACCTGCAGCGTCTACGAACAAGGCGAATGATGGCTGGGATGATGACTGGAAGGAGTTCTGAATTCTGTGTAGACAGTATTTATTGTCCGATGTAGTTGAGATGTACTCTGAGATAGGGGTTCTATCGTGTGAAAGATTTGATCTCATAGTTTCGCGGCGCGCTCGTCATTCTTTCGAAGCCGAGCGTTGGTCAGAACGAAAGTAATCGCAGAATGGGTACCTTGACAAACGACTACGACGAACAACATGTCTCTCGAAGGACTGCCCAGACCTTTGACGCTGCCCGTGTCGCCCAGCGACCTTGAGCGCATCAACGCGCACTTGCGCCCGCTGCCTCCGCAGGAGATCCTTCGTTGGGCGCTCGATTACCTTCCTGGTCTCGCACAGACAACCGCATTTGGCCTCACAGGACTAGTCGCGATTGATATGCTTTCCAAGCTGACGACCAACCCACCACCGCTAATCTTCCTCGACACGCTATACCACTTCCCTGAAACCTACGAGCTCGTGGAAGAGGTTAAGCGCCGGTATGGTGTTCCCGTGCACGTTTTCCGGCCCGATGGCTGTGATACGGTGGAAGAATTCGAACGCAAGCACGGAGAGAAGCTGTGGGAGCGTGACGAGGAGGCGTACGATCTGGCCGTCAAGGTACGTATTCTTTGACAGACAGATGGTCGATTGTTGTTCACGTAAGACTGACAGAAATGTTTAGGTTGAACCTGGTGTGCGCGCGAATCGCGAGATGGGTGTACAGTCCGTTATTACCGGTCGACGTGCATCGCAGGGCGCGGCGAGAGCAACGCTGCAGCCGCTCGAGGTGGACGGAACGGGCCTGCTGAAGCTGAATCCGTTATTTGCGTGGAAATTCTCGGATGTGCAGGCCTATCTGGACGCGAACAACGTCCCGCGTAATGCGCTTCTTGCTCAGGGATACAAATCTGTCGGCGACTGGCATTCCACACAGAAGAGCGGTGACGGTGATGCTGGAGAACGTGCGGGCCGCTGGGCCGGACGCGAAGACAAGACGGAATGCGGACTGCATGTGGACTACTTCGCCCAGAAGCTCGCCCAAAAACGTGCTGCAGAGGTATGCGCCCTGCCCATAGCTTCCCTCTTCTGAAGGGCGCGCGGACTGATGATGCACCCATCATCTGCAGGCTCAATCTCAGCCTGCGGGCGTCCCGGCTGTGGCGGAAGGTCTCGTTAATTAAACGTCGATATGTATGTTTGGAGACGAAGTATAGAAACAAATGTGGAGCTTTTTGGCCTGCCTTCACCCGACTCGGTCACTTGCCCGGGTGTCTCCATGATCTACTACCCACATAGTTGGTGAACTTGTGCGCCCAACGCTTGATGCAGTGCCTGTATGCATCAGAGCTTCAGTGCTTCTATCACACTTGACCGGCCCCGCACGGTATAAATCAGCTCCCACGTCAGTTCCCTCGTTCCCTCGACAGCCCTTACTTCTCCCCAGTCAGCACTGCTGTCGCGCTGACCGCCGATCCCGTCTTCTGTCTTCTTGGGTGGCGACTTCTCCCTTCGACGTCGTGCTTGTCAGAAAATGTGTCCGCTCGAGCCCGACTCTCAAGACCTTCCCCTCCCCTCGCTGCCCGAGCTACTCGATCAGGAAACCTACACGCGCGTATTCACGCATCGTTCGCTTTATGCGCGCCCTACGCACGTCTTCGAGGACAGTCCCCAGGACCCTGCCCCAGATAACGAGTCGTGCGTCCTGTGAGCTATTTGGATCGCGCGATCTTGACCAATTTGCGCAGGCTCGAGCACCTCGGGGACCAAGTGTTAGGTCTCGTCATCACGGATCTCATACAGTACGCTCGACATATGCCAAGTTAGCATACTCGACCCTGCTGACTGTATTGTGTAGGGAGCTGTACCCGTACCTCCGTGTAGGACCTTCTACGGTAGATGGGTCGGAAATTCCCTTCCGGTCGCAATACTAATGGGCGTCTATCTCCAGAAAATGCGCGCTCTTGTTGTTGGGAATCAGACTCTCGCCGCGGTGTACGGGCAACTCCATATGGCCCTAACTCACTCCGATGCTGACTTGGTCGGCCCTACAGCGCTCTCCGGTACCGTCTTCCCGACCGTCTGCGCCTGCATCGCTCGCAGTCGGTGACCCTCAAGGCCAGCATGAATGTCCAAGGTCGGTAACAAACCCCTTTACCCCGATGCCGTTCCCGCGCTAATCCACATACAGCCGACGTCTTCGAGGTAAGCCTAGCCTGATCTGCTGCGCCATTAGCTTCGCGCGCCCTGTCAGTACGTTAATTTTGCCGCGCCTCACACAGTCCTACGTCGGCGGTCTCTACCGTGCTCGCGGCCTTGCCCTCACCCAGGCATGGCTTCGCGTGCTCTTCGCGCCGTATGTTCGCTCGGCATATCGTCAGGTTCGCGCGCAGCATGGCCTTCCGCCTACGCTTGCTGTTGCTCCGTCAGCTTCGTCCCAGACTTCTAGCTCAAACCCGTACACTCCGCCGCCGTCTCCACCACACGGGACCATGATCGGCCACCTTGGTCTCTTCAATCAGCGCATTCAACAGGCGAACCGCTCGGTGGAGTGGGTCTTCGTCGACAGTCTCGGAGAAGGTACAAAGAGCACTCCCGTCTGGGTTGCGCGCGCCATCGTCGGCGGAGAGGAGTGGGGTTGTGGCCGTGGCAATACAAAGAAAACGGCTAAGAACGAGGCCGCTAAGGTCGGCTTGCGCCGTTTGGGCTTTGTGGTACGTGTCCAGTCACCTGTAGAGATGGGTGAAACCAATAAGCTCTTCTACAGCAGGATTAGTAGCATGACTGACCAGGTGGGGGCAACTGGCCCGCTACCCAGGCGGTCGAGCTGCCCCCTAATCTGTTCTTTGATGCATCTCGTCCGAGTCCTATCGTCTGCATGCCGAAGTGCACCATGTATGGAAATATCATCTACGGGACTGAATCACCCGAACACTAGCTCTATTTGCTGCTTTTCATGGATTACCCACAATGTATGCTTCGGAAGGTACAAAAATCTGGAAAATATACGGTTGTTATTTACACGAGTGTACAGTTTGTGTTCATGTGATATCGCGTACAATCTGAGCCAAGATGATACAAAACAGCCTATAGACAGAGAGGCATGTGCGTGCTAGAATACCTCGCGAAGTTGGAGACACGAAGAGTCCGAAGTGCAGCCCGGCCATACCCTCTACAACCATGATTCCAGTATTCAAGGCTCTTCCTCGACGAATATGGGTTCTACCCCCTTGTATGATACTTTCCCGCCAGCCTTCCACACCTTCTCGCGTTCACTCCAATACTCCAACGAACCCTTCTCAGTGCGCGAGGCAGACCATACGCGCTCTCCAGTATCGCCATCTGTCTCGGCGGTGAACCACCGAGGGCAATGCGGTGGCAACTCCCCCGTCTCACGCTTCTTGCGAATGGCACGTTGATGTTCCTCCTGGGCGATCTTGAGCACGTTGGCACGTTCATACTTCCCGAGCTCAAACGCGCGCTGGTCCGGGCGTAGACGGCAATCCGTTAGTGGCAGGTACGGCTTCAGCGTGTCGGGCGGACAATCGTTGAGTGTGATCGCAAAAGGTGTCAAGTTGAATGGCGCAGATGGCTTCACACTGTTGCGCCACAGCAATATAAACTCGGCAGGCGTACTGTCCACGTCCGGGTTTAAAGCACCGGCACCTGCACTGGGAGCAGAGACTGCACGTGCAACTAGTTGACTATTCCACCGTCCTGCAATCTCGTACTGCATGTTCCCAGACGCATCTGCGACGTAGCCTGAGATTTCGAAAGCGTCTTTGGCACGCCAGCCACGCGGTTTGAAGATGAGCGCGCAAGTGTCCTTAGTACGATGATTCGTAACCACCATCTCGCCATCTGCGTAACACCCCATGTGAGCGACCAGACTGAGGGTGAAGTGATCCATGAGCTACGTACAATGGTCAATCGTCGGCGACCCAAGCAAGAAACCGGAGACGTTCGTCGTGACTTTCTTCCAGCTAAAGTGCTCGACGACGCGGGGCTCGCTACCAGTGATAGAGCTGTCGTACTTGGGGTAATTCAGACCCCACGCTTCTGGAATGACGAGCTCGGCGTGAGCGACTCCGGTGGGCCGAATCTCGAAGCTCTTGCCCATAAACTTGTTCTGTGCGTCGACCTCGCCGAAGTAATGCCAGCGTGGGGACTCAGCGTAGCATGCCGAGATGGGCGGGTGGTGTGAAACTTGCTCTGATACGTAGCGGTACTCCTTGTCGTGTGAGACATATTCAAACGTCTCGCTCTGTTGAGTGGTCTGAGCTTGATGGCGGTCATCCACATGCGATCAGAGACAACATACAAGCATTGGGTTGAATGGTTTAGCTATTCGGCCGATGGTGGATGAATAGTTCGACATGGCGAAAGCTGCTACGAAGGCAATGCGGCGAAGCGGGTCTTGCTCCTGTGCAGCTGCGTCCACTGAGCAAGAGATTGTTATCGGAATGCCTGAAAGAGAGTAAAAATCAAGAAAGCTTACAGCACTCCGAGAACTCCATATCTTCCGCCATACGTTGCAGCATGCTTGTTGGCTCGTTGAAGAATACGGGGAAGGAGATTTTTGTGAGGTCTTTGCCGATGCTGTGCTTGAGAACACCTGTGATGACGAAGTGAGAAAAGCGCAGAAGAGGGCTTAATCAGAGGCACGCACTCCACAGCGAAGTAGGCGGGCGGTTGTCGCTCTTAATAGGCAACTCCTTACGCGGATGTTCATAACCCTTGTACTGCTCGAGCTCAACGTGATCCGGCAATGCTGGCGCGTGGGTCCTCAAGGCCTCGTTGATGACGAGGTTTGGCAATGCACCTGTCTCTATGGCATCAAAGAACTCGTCCTCTTCGTCGGTGTCTACATCTCCGTCCATGTCGTCTGTCTGCGTCTCAAGCATACCTGGCACAAGGGTGGAAGCCGTATGCGGAGGCGAGACGAAGAAGTCTGCACGTGCCGCTGCTGGCGACCCTGACGGCTGTCGATGTCTACGCAGGGTGGAGTGGCTGAGCGAAAGCCGGCGAGTATGGGGACTCGGGGGATCGTGTTCCGTCACCGTGAGGTTACTTCCACTACGTGTTGGGACCACGGGCCTGACCTCACGCTCGGCAGATACTTGCTGTACTTGATGTAGTGGAGTTTCAAGCGCCTCTTCTTCAAGTGCCGGAGGCGACACAACGAGCATGCTTGGGCGGGCACGGAGCGTGCCATCTCCACGGCCCTCGCTGGCCGAGCGCCCACGGCGATGCGTCCGCGCCTGCTCGCGTAGCTCGCGCTCCAAAGCCTCGCCCTCTTTCACGACACTCTGTAAACTTTCCTCCCACACCGCTTGCCGATGAACTTCGCGAGAAAGACGTGATCGCCACCAGTCGTCGCGTTGGCGCGCCTGATCGACAAACTCGTTCACAAGAGCACGCACACTAGCCATGTTCTCCCGCAATGCACTTTGTAGTTCCCCGCTACGAGCTGGCGTGTTCCCCGTCCTCAGAAGGTCCGTCAGTAGGTCGGCAACAAGGTCGAGTTGGGCTGTCGCGGAATTCGCGTTGAGGAAATACATGCCCTCATGCGGAGGTTGTGCGGATTCGATCTGCTCCACGCTTCCGTTCTCTTCTTCGCCACTTCCCGTCAGGCTGGCCGCACGTTCGGGAGCCTGCAGGCCAGACAGGTCGGGAGAACGGCCGTCCTCATCGTCGGTCATCTCCTTCGAACTCGTAAGGCTATCCACGTCTGACTTGGGTTTGTGTGCCAAGCTGGGGCTGCTCAGCATGTTGGAAGATCTGGATCCCTTATGTCCAGGACGCAAGCTACTCAGACGCAGCGACGAGCGAGACGCGAGGGATTGCAGAGAAGACTCGCTTTCAGTGTGGTCATGGATTGGTGCGGGTGGTGAGCCTTGACGAGCGGTCTCAATAGCGCGACCGATGGCTTGAGTCCAGCGCGTCGCTTCAACTGGATGGTTTGCCTTGATATACCATTTCTGTACACTATGATGCCCGTGCGAGGGAGTGGAGTGGACCTCGAAGCGCACGGTATCGCTGCTCGAAGGTAGTCGGAGGACTGCGGTTCGCATGGCTATCGAACCTCGGCTGGCTATGGTTTCATCCTCTTGATGTCGGTAGTCTGCAACTGGTGAGTATTGGAAATAGGATCCGGTATGAGACCACATACACGAGAGAACCCCATCCTTAAGGACGAACCATCTTGTTCCCCAGCCCCGAGCCACGTTGGTATACTTATTGAGATACCCCTTCAACTCCGGCGGTCCGCTTGGTCGTCCGTCCTCTATCAACGTGGTGTCTCTTCGGGCGACTGTGACGAGATCAGCATGATGCACTATCGGCGAGGTGACGGTCCTACATTGACGGAGAAACGCGCGCATCTTGTCATCCTTTCCGACGACATCCTGAACGGTACGCCCACGCCGGTCACGGACGAAAATATCCGCTCCACCACGCATCGCGAGTTCAACCAGACTGGCGTCTTTCCTCTTGGATGCCTCATGCAAGAGAGTGGTGCCCGTATCATCATCGAGATAAGATAGATTGAGTAGACGCGCGCGAGGAGATGAGAGAAGGGCGACAAGCTGTGCCGGAGGTTGCGTTGCCGGTAGTGACATGATGTAGGAACGGAGTTGAGAACGGAAGGACGCCGTGAGGAACGATCTCGAGTCCTGTATCGCCCGCTGGACGTCACGGCCATGGGCTACATCCTTGACGGTCTTGCCTTGGGCATCTCGGAGAGTATCGTCTATTCCCTCCTGCTCTAGCAGCAGAGTGACGACGTCCACACGTCCGAGTGATGCAGCGAGATGCAAAGCGGTGGTGCCGGACTCCGGCGGATGTATCGCGTTGGGCGAGATGGCCCGGTGAGATAACAATAAGCGTATAGTGTCCACTACGCTGACATGAATTCGCACACTCTTTCTCGATAATCTGTCGGAACACGTACCAGACGCGCATCTAATGGCAAGGTGGAGGGCGCCGGGGCCTGCGTCCGAACCCGAGCCCGAATCTTGAGAGGCGCGACGCTCCTGGCCAATTTCGGCCAGGAAAGGGTGTATGCGCGCAGGATCTCCTAGAGACAAGTCGTTCGTATGGGGCACATCCTATTCAGACGTGCATCATATCCGTACCACTTCTGAGCGCGGCCAAGAGTTTGACCTGGTAAAGCGGCTCTGGTGTGCCCGCTGAGCATACTTCAGTCACACCCACCGAGAGATTATGTGGACCAAGGCGACGAACCGGCCTCCTGAGACTTTGAAATCGAAGGAAAGACAGAAGAGGTGGAAGAGATCGAGCCTTGATGCGGGCGACTCTGAGTGGCCATGGCCGTCTGGGTTCAGTGTCCTCGCGCCTCAGCCTCATGACGTACATACAACGACCGCACGGTTTCCCTGCCACCACCATCCCGTCTAAAATCGATCTTTATATTTGCATCTCTCCCGCTGTTACGGTCATGCATGAGTGACCTAGAAAGCACTACTTCTCCTAGAAACAGCCGTGCTGGCGAATCCTCATGCACCTAGACGGCCCTGTCGGCCTCTCGCCGTGGCACCCTTGAAGTCCTACAGACCGCGTTCCACCAAGGGTTGTCCCGAATGCAGGTCCAGGCGCTCAAGTACATACGGCCCTACTTACTTCCTCAGGGTGCCGCTACGAGTGGTTCGGAACGTGTAAGGACATGCGCTCGGCAAGGACTCGTTCGATCCTGCATCATGACTGCCGTCGTATCCGCGGGATCCGGCACAAAGCCGCTCTCAGGAGCGACCGGCGGCATAGCACGCTCCCGGCATATCTCTGCCCAGTGCTCTTGCGTGGTCGGGCTCGGTGGCACGGCAGTGAGGACCGAGTTCCTTCCAAGCAAGACTAGTCCGTTATCAGTTCGCAGTGCTCTCGACGATCTCTGGATTATGATACGCTGCGCATTCAGAGATGCATTCATCGGCACTCGATTCTACCTGAAAGTCAGGTAGCACATGTAAATGGCCAAGTATATGGTACATGCCAGACGCGCTGAGAGACGTCTGAGTTTAGCTTCTAGCTAGCTTGGGCACTTCAAAGCCTCATTCGATCGTGGACGCATGTCGACCTCTCTGCTTATACTGCCGTGCTTAGGCATCATGCTTGCTTACTTGATGTACACCCAGACCTGTAAAGCTTCCCTCCTTATCATTCTCTATCATAAAAACTTCTGATACCTTCACAAGGTGGATTGGCCCCGTTTGTACATATATGTACCGTTGTCCGTCGCGCATCCTAGCGTCCTCCTAGTATACGGGACTCAGACTCTACCTGACACGAAGAGATACGTATGTGATTTCTCACGCCAATAGACTTGAGGGTAGCACAGCTTGCGGAAGACAGAACAGAGAGGCGCGGTGCGGCGTGTCAGGATATGGATAGATTGGCCGCACGCACGACGTCTTTGATGACATTGCTAGTGCCACGTAAATTCGCATGACGCTGGTATGTGCGCCGAGAGAGGAGGACGAACTTGAGCCATAACCATGCAAATGCTAACATCTTCCTACTTACCAGATCTGTTTCTGAATACCGGTACCGGAAATAGTGTGTTGCCCATTCCGCACTTAGTCCCGCACCGAAACGGGGTACACTGCGAGCGCCTCATGAAGCCAGTTCCTACTGACGCTTTCTGTCCAACAGCAAGCACGTATCACCGCTACTATTGGCGCCGTCATCAAAGGCAATACACCTCACGTATCTTTGGTAGCGGCCAATAGTAGACCCGCGCTACCATCGTATTCGCGCGCTGTCAAATGCCAAGATGGGTTGGAGGTGCACGTTGCATCTGAAACATCATGGTAAAACCAGTATCAATATCCCCCGAGGACGCCGCTCCAGACGGCCTCCGGGACTATCAAGGAGCCGCGCATGATACATAAGTTAATCAACTAATGCGTATGCACGGGCACCAGTAGAGTTGAATCTCGCTTCTGATTATAGCAACCAATCGAGGGCGATTCTCATAGGCGCATCGCAGTCATCATACTGGTGTACTTCCGCTAGAGCTAGTGGTGTATGACAAGGCCAGCTCGTAGCTGTGGCGGCCAGACCCGACGAAGTTCCAAGAGATCCCGTTGCTGACCGGCACTTTGCCGATGTCTGAGATCCATCTCTCATGCTCGAGACTCTTCTGTGAGCATGTGTCTATGGCGTACGTTCCAGAGCCGACGGCAGACGTATCCAAGACGAGGAGGTCGAGACCGAGCGCAGGCAGTCGGAGTGGCCGGATCCAAAGGAGGTCCGGAACGCGACCGACTTTTGCACATCTCCCTTGGAGACGTGACCATCGCAGCCACCTATACCCGCCGGGCGCCAGACAAAGGTATATGCGATCCAAGCTATGCGAGACGCTGTATAATTTACATATGGGTGGGCCGAAGAGACAAAGGAACAGAAAGTGAAGCGCGCGTGGCGAGCTGAGCCACACGGGCACGAGGCGACGACGTGGTCTTTACGACGTAATTGGAGGAGACAAAGCCGTTTCGGCTTATCGATCGGGGCTCCGTTTCATCGATATCGACGAGCGGCTGCGCCGCTGCAAGGTTGCGGGGCCACGCACTCGACGACGACCCGTGGCGCGCGGGTCAGTGGAGGCGAACGAGTCGAGGCCCAAGGGCAAGAAGGAGAGGAAAAGAGAGCGGTGGAGTGGGAAGCGCTAAGAAAGGCTGTAGGTGCGCGGTCGGATGAGAACAAGCAGCAGCTGCGACCATGCGCCGAAAAAGCCAGTAAGCAGATTTGGAGATTTCAGGGACGCACGGAATCGGGGGGAGCCAAATACCCGGAGAGACGGCGCCTTGACGACGAGTTTATTAATTTCGACCCGCCCCGCCTGAGCGGCCTACATAGCATTGCGGTATATAAAGGCCCGGAGTTTTATTTCTGCTCGGGCTTGTTCACCCTCCATACAATCCGTCCTTGCTTGTACGATTGCTGCTATGGCCCATCCTGCTGTCGGCGCTAGCGTCTCTTCGATGCCTATAATAGCCGCGGCCACCCCTACATGGCTTCCTAACGTACAATATCCTGCGCACACGCAAGTCTGCTTGTTCCAGCCAGCCACCGGCCGGGTTGATGTCTATCTATGTACCCGACCACGTACGCATTGCCTTATCGCCCCTTCCGTAGACACGACGACTAACACCTTCCTCTCAGACTTATCCAGTGCCCATAACGCAGTACGCCGTCGTGTCCGATCTTCCACAAAGGTTCATCAGGCTAACATCTATCACAGCCACCGTCGGGTGCTTACTGGCAGTACATCGCTCAAAGATGAGCATTGTATTGTCTGGCATGCGAGTCACCGCGTAGACCATCCCGCCCGCCGGGACTTGCGTGCCACTGGCTGCATCTATTGGCTATCCCGCAACCCCAACCACCACTATCGCCTCTCATCATGCACGATCGCGCCCCTCGTCTCGCTTGCGCCCTTGTGTGTATAGCTCGCGTAGCGCACAGCCCGATCGCCTCTTGCGATAATCGCTTCTTAGCAAGCTCCACGACCGGACCGAGTTCCGCCCTCGATGTGGTTGGCCTCCTACTCCCCGCGCATATACGCTCGCGTCTTCTGACGGTGGCGACTTAATCTTGGATATCCGACTGCGTGCGGCGCATTCTCCCGACATCCGACTGTACAGTAGACGACGGGGGCAAAGCGTGCGCACGCTTTTGCGGCGGCGGGCGTCCCGCGCCCCCTGTGGATCGCTGGCCGTTCCATGTCTCTCGAATTCCGCGCATAATCTTCATGCATGATTCCCAGCTACCCTAACGCTCTCGCTAGTATCATTATTGTTATCAGCATCATATACTATACAGCTCAAGTCTCGCTCCTGTGTACATTCGTCAATTTCTCTTCGGTTTCTTGTGGATAATCGTGTTTTTTCCATGGTGAACATGCTCGAGTGAACCGACTATCAAGTGCAGCTCCGGTGCCGATCCGCCTACAACACGCAGCTACACGCAGAAATCGAAACGCCGTCCTCGGGCCTCGCGACCGGCGTGGCGACGCCTTCGCCTGTGCAGCGCACGCAAAACTTTCCTCCGCTTTGCGACCACAGTATTTGATTTCTACCGGACAAAGCAGCCCGTGCGTGCATCGCTATTGCACATACTCTATATGGTTCCGTTAGACGACAGCCGAGGGATTATCCTTGGCGCTGGGGACGATGCCAACGACGGCTGATCTGCGCGCTGAGTCTATCCTTGTGAGTCAGCTATGTGGCTCGCGACCCTGGCCGAGCACGGACTAAGTGATTGAAGGCACAAAGAGAACTTTGGCTGTGCGTCATGCATCGTGGCTCTTTCGTGCGAGGCCGGCGAGGATATCAAGGAGTATCTCCGGCCAGCCGAGCCTCTTCAGAGATGCGAACTCACACGGGAGAATCGTCGGGAAGCTCAACGGGTAGCAGGACGGGGCAAGAACGCGCGGTGACGTCTCGGGAGTAGCTACTCCTGGATTATGACGTCTCAATCCGAGGAGTTCTTGCGCATTGAGAAGTAGGATAGGACGTGAAAACACCCTGGCCGCCGAAGGCTCACATGCAGCGGGAGAATCCTTGCGCGCGTGCGGACTTGAAAGACGACTCGTGGGCGGCCGTGCACCGCCTCGACGACCTCTTAGGCCTGAGGCGTAGACGACGGGCAGTGAAGCACGGGCAACATCGTCCGTGTATGGCTTACAGCCGTTGTTCTGCGAAGAAATGCTATGAGACCCGAATATACCAAGGCGGGCAGGAACCGCCACCACCGCGCCACATCCCCGGAGAAGAGACTATCGGACAGACTTTCAGCTTCGGAAGGTCATGCTACGCCGCATAAAGTCATTCTACCGTCGAATAGCAGGAATTACATCAGACATCAGGCAACTCTAGAACTCGGAAATCACTCATGGGTACTGGGAATAATGCGTATAACTTCAAGTTCGGAGATATGACCTATTCGCCATGCCATTCAAGCAGGTCTCGCCACTCGTTTTGGTCACAGTTGGCAAAGATCTACTTCGCGGTTTCCTGACGAGAATGAAGGTTCGGTGGCTGCACACCTGAGGTCTGCGAAGGCCGCTGAGCATCTCTTCTTGACGTGTGATGCCCCGCACGAAGCCCATGATTGCGCAAACCTTATAGACCCCCACAAGCCATTCGTCCCTTGTCTTTCGCACAGACGGGCCAAAGCCCAGTCGCGTGTACTCGATACAGTACGACTAGAGTGGTTCGTCGCCAGGTGGCAAGATGAACACTGGCTTCTCTCAAACCCAGGACGTCATCGAGACAGCTTTGCTGCATGGACTTCACTGACGAGGTAAACGGTCGTGGTGTCAGCACTTAAGGCTCGAGATGTACCGAGACAGCTGCACAGCTTGCATGCGCTTTGAGGTGAGCTACATATTGGAGTACAAGCGCCAAATGAGCAGTTATGTAGTATTAGTGGGCGCGTGAACTTGGTCAATGACACGCCGAAATGAGACGAACCTGAATGTCGACGCTCTGACAGTGAGAGACTCACGAAGGCCACGCGCGCTGTACTGTAGAGCAAGCAAGACTCACAGTGTAAGGTTCGAGCAAACGCATACGCTTGTACGCTTGCATCGCACAGGTGGCCGGCCGCAGTGAGCTTAGCCCGCCCTAGAAGCACAATGAATGTCGGCCCGTCTCCTGTTGATCGTACAAAGCAGCCATGCTTCGATATAGACATATACGACCATAACTGACCGGATGAGTGGCCGCCTAACTGCGCAGTTTGTTGGCCTAGTAGGCTGTGAACAAGGTGATACAAACCAAGTTAGTGGATGTTCTCGGATGCCCACGTTTTCCGTTCACAGAAGGCCACAAGACCAGTGTGGCACGATGCGCGCCGCGCATTCCAGTCAATCATCTGAAGTGCACAGACGTAAGGATGACTTGTACTGGGCGCTTGGAAACGGACTGCGAAAGCCGTGCTTTAGTAAATGGGCGTCTCGCTGCCGAAGAGTCTTGCCGAATGGTGGAATAGGTTAGATGAAGATCCGGTGCCACATCACCGTTGCTTTACGCAGTCGTTCGCTAGCCAGGCTGTTGGGCGTCCGAACAAAGGAAGCCTCGAGCAGGGACCTGACGGATCCGAAGTGTCGTCGCGCCACATCTTCCCAGTACTCTTGCTGTATGACTCTGGATCGCGTGCGCGCACGATGTTCTGCAGTAAAATATGGACCACAATTGCCCCGAGACTATCCAAGAAGAGGACACAAACCATTGTACAATCGACTCGCAAGGTATCAACGCGATACCGAGTCTTGAGCATATCAAGCCCACACAGACAAGAGCAATCTTGCAAAAGTGATATTGTCCGACGGCGCGCGACAGCATATACCACCGCGTCACACTTCTGAGTGAAGACAGTCGGTTGGTCCGGAGCGCAGAAAAGCCCGTATTGCGCCGAGTGTCGCTTCAGAAGGAAAATGAAGTGCACGCGCATGTGCCCATGATAATTATAGGGGATGATATGACCGGGATATTTCACATCTAGACCCTCCTGTCCGAGAGCCTACCAACGGCGTCGACTGACGGTGCACCCCACACGATGGTCTTTCTCTGAGGGTCCAGCAGACCTGGAACTTTCTCCAACACTGGGGACAAAACTCCTCTCCTGGTCGGTGTGCTTGGCGCGGCGGCCAGTTTCTCGGGTACGACGGCTGCGGGCGATGTGGCGACTGCTTTGGCCATGGCTGCGTCCTTGGCTTCACCCGCAACACGCCGATTCTCGGCGAACATCGCACGCGCCTCCTCATCAACGTCTTCGAACGTCTCTTGTTTGACGGCCTGGATAGAGTAGAAGTATACGCCAACGATGAAGGCGGCGATGGCCGTGCCGGTCAGTGCGTTCTTGACTGTGTATTGCTGTCGCGCACGAAGAAGACCTGGTGACATCCCCATCCTCTGCAGCCATATATTCGTCAGTACTATTCTAGAGGCGGG